GGGGCAGATGATCCTATCTGATCCTCTGGCCTTGCAGGAGAGAATGGTTGCTGCAAGTCCAAACCACACCTTGAAGAGGTGTGACCATGACATTCCACTCCTCTTATTTTCAGACCACCACTACCCCAGGAAGACCAAAGACTTAAACAAGGCTATGCCCTGCTCTGTGCATTGGACTGATGACCATAGGAGACAGGCCCATGGTCACCATGCAGGCCATGATCTTCCAAAACAGACCTGAGGCATCCTCAGCATGGATTTTAAAGCCACCCAAAACCACAGTTCTGGGTTTATCCAACACCACCCGCAAGATAACCTTGGCCTGCTTGAGGCTTTACTTAACTTTTTACAAGTAACTTGTGCATGTTTTTAAGGAAAAATGTTCATCCTAGAGAACTAAGGTGAAGAGCTTTCACAGAGAGAGTTTCTGCCACAATGGAGGTCAAATGGAAGGATGGAAGCACATCCACTTGATCGTCATTTTCAAGAGATTCCTCTGACATGCCCAACTGGGAGTCGGTCACCTTAAATCCAATGGGACTTACTGCTGAGTGGCTAGCTATAGGATTCCACTGCAAAATAAATAAAAAAATGTTCAGACTACGTGGCACAAATATTTTAAACATACTGGTAGCTACAATGGCAACAACTCAGCTGATCCCCAGCCACTTGTCCACAGATGGAGGTATTGCAAAATTTACCTGGCTCCCAGGAATTTGTCCCAGGCTTCACAGTGAATGAGCTTTGCTACTTAGCAGCTCCCAGGGGCAGCTTCTGCTGAATGCAAGCGCTTCCCAGGAGAGGTGCAAAGGGACATATAAAGAAGGCTCTTCTGTTGTGATAGTGTTGCAGGCATGAGCCCATGTCCCTAGGCTAGGGGATGGTTGTCTTCTTATGACAGAGCTTCAGAAAGCTGGAAGAAGGCACCCAAAGCCCACCTGAACCAACCTGCTTTGAATCCTCTAACTGAAGGTCATTTCGGTGAGCTGTGTTTCGTTTATACTGTGTGGTGATAGATAAGTAAATGGAAGGCGGTTAGGCAGGGAGAGAGGAAGAAAGAGAGAGAAAAGACCTGCTTAAACCTCTAAGTTCACAGAATCATACAACTGTAGAGTTAAAAGGGGCCTAAAGGGCCTCTGCAATGAGGTTGTAGCAGGCTTTGCCAACCTGATGCCCTCCAGATGTTTCAGACTACAACTTCAAAAAACTGTGATTGAGGTTGATAGAAGTTGTGGTCCAAAATTTTGGCAGCACAGAAATTGTCAAAAGCTGGTTTGTGAATTTTTTTTAGAAGGGAAGGCTTAGATGTTATGCAGAGATGCTTCATCCTATATAAAGGAATGAGATGCTAAGGTTTGCAGTTGGCAGCCTTCTTGATAAAGCGCAGTGAAACACAAATAGGGAGAGGCCTTGGGTGGTTGGGCGGAGAATGAAGGTGCCATTACCTCAACCTTATCCATCCTTAAATGCTACTCACAAAGAGGCAGCATGACAGAAACAGAGCTATCCTCTGAAATTCACATTTCTCTGAATTTTGTGATGCAGTTCTCTAACAAAGAAATCTGTACAGAAAATGTATATATTGGGAGTAATGTGCAAGAAAATGCACACATGCACAAAATTAGGGGGAATTGCTTTCAAAAATGTGTGTGCTAGAACTGCATACAAAAATGTGTGTACTGTATTAGGAAGAGTTTGCACTACAATGCTGACCGATCTACACAACAATATTTTTTTCCAGGGGTCTGGTCTGCTGGGCGGTGGCCCTGCAACACCCGAAAAGGCTTGGGTACAGTCTGCCATGGCAGCTATGGCACATGTAGACAATGCCTTGTGGCTCCTTGCCACCATCATTGAGGTGCCCAAGTGGCCAAATTCCTGATGACCAGTAATGCTGATGCAACTGCTGTACAGCTTTTGTAGGAAGATGTAGACCCTGCCCACCTTCTGCACACGAACATCACCTGTTTCCCCCCGAAAGGGACCCATCAGTAGATCACTGGGGTTTTAGCTGTTGATATTAGTGGCAGTCACAGCATACCCAAAACAGGCAGCCATCTGCTCTCCAGCAAAGTTGTATAGAGGGCCATATGTCACTTCCATTTAGAATGGTGACATATTCATATGTCAGTCTTCCTTTATAAATGCCAGCAGCAAAGTCTTTGCTAAATTTCCCATTGAGCTGACTGACTACCACAGATTAATCAATGTAACTGTCACCAGCCTTGAATCATAGAAAGTAAAGTTGGAAGGGACCTCAAGGTCATATACTCCAGCCCCATCCAATGCAAGAATCTCAACTGAAGCATCCATGGCTATCCAACCTCTGCTTAAAAACCTCCAAGGAAGGAGAATCCACCTTGTGAGGGAGTGTGAGGGAGTCTGCCCCAGTATCCAACAGCTCTTACTGTCAGAAGGTTCTTCCTGATGTTTAGTCGGAACGTCCTTTCTTGTAACTTGAATCCAGAGGTTCAGGTCCCCTGATCATCTTGGTTGCCATCATCTGCACAGGCTTCCCTGCAATGCTCAATGTCCACGTGACAATGGAAAAGCAATTTTTGATTCACACTTAGCCTGGAAGGGGGGGAAAATGCACACGACTCAAGAAAATAACTTTTTGAAAACCGCTTTGAGGTTGTTGTTTTCCCCTGCAATCAAGTGATGTGTAAACTTTATGAAAGAAATAACTGCGTTTCTTTTAATAGAGAACAGCAAAGAATACGGGAGAAAGTTCTTGGAAGGCTGTCATGTCCTCCAACCACTCAGCCTTCAGTCCTCCTGTGTTCCTCCTGACAGGCTTCCCAGGGCTAGAAAAACACCATGCTTGGATCTCCATCCCCATCTTCTCCATGTACCTAGTGGCCATTGCAGGCAACAGTACCATCCTCCTCCTCATCAAGACGGACCAAGCCCTCCATGAGCCCATGTACTATTTCCTCTCCATGCTGGCCATGACAGACCTGGGCTTGTCCATTACTACTCTGCCCACCATGTTGAGCGTTCTGTGGTTCAGCCACCGTGTGATCAGCTTCAACGCCTGCCTGGCCCAGATGTACTTCATCCACACCTTGTCTATTGCTGAGTCAGGAATTCTGTTGGCCATGGCCTTTGATCGCTTGGTGGCCATTCGGAACCCCTTGAGGTACACAACTATCTTGACCAACAAAACTATAATCAAGATTGGGGTGGTGGTTGGCTTTCGGGCTGCCTTCCTCGTCCTCCCTGGATCCCTCCTGCTGAGAAGGCTGCAGTATGGAAAAGTAAGTGTGCTTTCCTATTCATTTTGCTTGCACCAGGATGTTCTGAAAGAGGTGCATTCAGACAAGAGAACCAACAGCATCTTTGGTTTGCTGGTGATGCTCTTTTCCACTGGTGTGGATTCCCTGTTGCTCGTCCTGTCCTACTTCATGATTCTCAGAACTGTGTTGGGAGTTGCTTCCAAGGAGGAGCGTTTCAAGGCGCTGAGTACTTGTGTCTCCCACATCTGTGCTGTCCTAAGTTTCTACATCCCCATGCTTGGCCTGACAATGATCCACCGCTATGGGAAGCATGCTCCGCCCATCATTTTCATCCTCATCGCTAATGTCTATCTCTTGGTGCCGCCTCTGATGAACCCTATTGTGTACAGTGTGAAAACCAAGCAGATCCGCACACGGATAATCTTGAAACTCCGGAAGAAGGAAAAGGCATTAAAAGCCTCAAAGTGACAGGTTTCCCAATGCTACATATTTATTTATTTATTTATTTATTTTATTTATTCATTCTGATTGTTTTATGGCCAAAGACCTAGGTAAAATGAAAAGTTTTCACCTGGCACCTAGACATGTAATGATGGTGAGCCTCTCTGGCAAGGGAATTCCACAAACAAGGAGCCCTCTGAACCTCTCAGGGAGTGGAGACACAGAGAAGGGCCTTGGAAGACAAGCACAGCATCTGAGTCAGCTTGTATGGGGAGAGATGGTCCTTAAGGTACTGAGGTCCTGAGCCATGTAAGACATTTTAGCTGAGCTCTAGCACTCAGAATTGGGCCCAGAACTACATAGTAGCCAGTGCAGCTGAGCCAGAATTGTCTTGCCCTGGTGAACAACCTGACCATCAAAATTTGCACTAGCTGAAGTTTCTGGACCATCTTTAGAGGCAGCCTTGTGTATAACAATTTACAGTAATCTAACCTAGAGATTACCAGGGCATAGGCCACAGAAGTTAGGCTAGCCCTTTTCATACAGGGGCCACCAGTCGAAGATGACAGAAGGCACTTCAAGGTCACCTGGGTCTCAAGTGACAGCAATGGGTTCAGAAGAAACCCCAAGCTATGTTTCTGCTCCTTTACAGGGAGTGTAACCTCATGAAGAGCAGGCAGTATCCCACCTTCCCATCTACAAAACCACCCACTAACAGTGCCTCTGTCTTATCTCATACCCTCCAACACTCCTCAAATGAAAATCGTGGCATTCTATTATTTGAGGAATGTTGGAGGGTATGTAGACTTGTTAAATTTGCACAGCAGAGAAATTTAAGTGTAAGTTTCTCCCCTTTCCCACCCCTGCCTTCTGAGCTCTCCTCCATCACGTGCCAGGCGATAGATGGAATTCAACATTGCCCCTTTCCAATCGTTCTGTCTGTGAGGCATTGCTGTTTGCCAGATGGAAAGATGCCCCTCTCCTCCTTCTATGTGCTGCTCAGGGGGTTCTACTGAGCCCCCTTCCAGGCCTTTTTCAGAGGGTGTGGGGGTGCAGGGGGAAGAGACATGGGAAAGCCACACTTCATAAGCAGAAGTATTTGCACAATGCTTCTGCTGAGGGGGTTGGTGAGGTGAATCTACCCCAACAACTCTTTCAAATCTGCTCGTTCATGAGTCCATTCCTACCTGTTTCTGCATTTGGTGTCATCCATCTGATTCAAGAGACAATAGAATGTGCCCCTGGGGGGTGAAGTCAAACCACTGTATTAGCAACACCAAAGTGACCTCCTCAGGGTGCAAGCCTGGGCAGTATTTCTGGAGGTCATGGGCTACCCAGACAACATCACCTTTTTGGACCTGCTGATGTGGTCCAAAGGAAAGCAGAGCAAGACATTTGGCACCAGCCTGGGTGTAGGAGTTGCTGGAAGGAGATGTACAAGGAGCCATCTCATGAGCCTTTTTTTTCTCAATGGCTGGGGAGACCAGGGCAGATGGGCAGGGTATAAATAAATAAATTATTATTATTATTATTATTATTATGCCAAAAATATGCCGCAGGGAAGCAGAGATTTAGGTTCAGAGTTTTCCTTCTGGATGGGTTACCTTCCCAGGTGAATGAGCACCACTTGCCCTTCACTTTTTATGCATTAATCCACTTTAAAAGTACCAAACACAAAACACCCCTGCATAAAAAATTCCATTTCAATATATTTTTGTAAATCTTCTCACAAAATACACTTCTCCAATCCTTATCCGAAAACATGCATTTTAAAATACATCTTACTACATCTTTAAACCAAACATGGCTGCAGCAAATTTGGTGGATTGTGAAATCTGAAGGAAACTACGTTCCTGTCCTCAGTGCAAGAAATAGGGATAATTTCAGTTCATATTAAAATTCACAAGACCAACTTTGTCAAGCATCCATAAGCATCACACACAAAATCCTGCAAAAATTACCCAGGAATTCATTTCGGGCTTTGCGGATAATGAACTTTTCAGCCCAAGGGCAGCTTCCAGTGATGTAAGAATCTCCCAAGAAGGGAACACAGGAACACATAAAGGCTCCTTGCATTGCTGGAATTGTGAGCACTTGTTCATGTGCAAAGATGATGCTGAATGTCTCTTTGCTGTAGAATGCAAGACACACAAAATTGCTGGAGCGAGGCACCAAAAGCCCACTTGAACTGACTAGCTTTAAGTCCTCTAATGAGATGTGATTTGGGTGAGTTGCATTTCATTTACTTGACATCTTTATAGGCTCATTTTGACAGGCCATGGGGGTTTGCTGGTGCAGAAGGTTCTACTCAGATGAGAGAGCATGGTAAGCCCACCACAAAATGCCAGCACCACATGAATTTTACTGTAGCAAACATTACTTCCAGATGCAAGTGTCGAGAGAAGAAATAAGATAAGCCTTGTTGAGCACCTTGTGCCCTGCATTTCCTTCGGTCTGCATAGACACCTCTTTCCCTGCCTTTGGTCTTTCTGAAGACCCCCTAAAACTCAAATGCTGAGACATTGTTGGGGAGCAGAGGTCCCTGGTTTAGTTTCCTTCTGGTGTGTGGGAGGGCACTGAGGACTTGGGCATCTTCAGTATTGGCTTTACTGCAAACAGAACATACTGCAGAGACCAAAAGCTTACTATAGCAGGCAGGGCACAATATATTCCCAGAGATCAATGTGTGTAGCCTCTGCCCTTCAGTGCATATCCCAAGTCCAACTAACTCCAGATTGACACCCTTAGCATTCCCTCACTCTCTTATCTCTTGCAATTCAAACCTCACTGTCTTTAAAACAGCTGCAGTGCATTCAAACCTCTCCTCTCCTGGATAATTCAAGTGGTTCCATATGGAGAGCAGTTGTAGACATTAAGCATGTCAAAGTTTGTTCTTGGGTTCTAACCAACCTTTCACAGTGATAAATCTGGGGAAACACACCAATATACAGTTCCTGTTTGTACAATCAGCCAGCCTGCCTCTCTGTTAAAGGGAAGAAAAGATAATTTATCTGTGCTGTTATCTCAAAGAACAAAGGAATACAAGGCTTCTCAAAAGGCGAGTCTGCTAGAATTGTAGGAGTAGGCCTGGTGTCTCCTTGGCAGATGCTCCTTTGCCCCATTGCAGCTTCACAACACAAACAGCAAGGAGCGAGGGCCTTGGGGGAAAGCGACCACACAATGCTAGAGGTCAGGAGCTTTTGGAAATCCAAAGGTGAGAATTGTCAAGTGTGTGTCTGAAACTTGAGGAAATCTTTTTTTAATGAACTCAGAGGAATGTTAGGTAGAATCCCAAACAATACTGGTGCAAAAGGGAGCCCAAGGTGTGTGGGAGATCGTCAAGGAGGAGCTGCAAAAAGGCACACTCATACCCACAATTCTAATGAGGGGGGGAAATTGGTGGTTTTGAATCAAAGAGTATGGGATAGATTATTCAGTTAAAAGCAAAATGTAAATCAGCATAAGGAAATCTGTTTTACATTCAGGCTCTGATGTCAACTCTTGGAAGAGAGGCTGTGTTGCCATTGGTGGCGAGGATTTGAATGTCTGAATAGCCAGATGACTTCTTTTTCTCTTAAACAGGGAGCAACAAGGGAGAATGGTCTTCGGACAACATCATGTCCACCTCTAACGAAACAGTCAGTGCTGCTGCTTTCCTCCTCACAGGCTTCCCTGGGTTGGAGAAAAAACATATTTGGCTTTCCACCCCCATCTGCTCCACTTCCCTCATAGCCATCGCAGGAAACTGCACCATCCTCTTCATCATCAGGACGGAACAAATCCTCCACAAGCCCATGTACTATTTCCTCTGCATGCTGGCCCTCTCTGACCTGGGTTTATCAATCGCCACTTTGCCCACCATGCTGAGAGTCCTGTGGTTCAACCACCACATTATCCATTTCAACATATGCCTGATTCAGATGTACTTCATCCATACTTTCTCCATCGTTGAGTCAGGTATTCTGTTGGCCATGGCCTTTGATCGTCTGGTGGCCATCCAGAACCCTCTGAGATATACATCTATCTTGACCAACAGAAACATCACCAAGATAGGGGTGGGGGTTGCCCTTCGGGCTGCCCTTCTTCTCTTTCCAACTGCCATTCTTCTGAAGAGGCAGAGGTATGGAAGAGTCAATGTGCTTTCTTATTTGTTCTGCTTGCACCAAGATATTCTGAATGTTGTGCATTCCGACAGGAAAATTAGCAGCATCTATGGCTTGATGGTGGTGATCTCCTCCATGGCTCTTGATTCTGTGTTGCTGGTTTTTTCCTATATCATGATCCTCAAAACTGTGTTGAGCATTGCCTCCAAGCAAGAGCGCCTTTGGGCCTTGAATACTTGCATCTCTTACATCTGTGCTGTCCTCACTTTCTATATCCCAATGATTGGCCTCTCTATGATCCACCGCTATGGGAAAAATGCCCCACCCATTGTCCACATCCTCATGGCCAATGTGTACCTTCTGGTGCCACCATTGATGAATCCCACTGTGTACAGTGTGAAAACCAAACAAATCCAAACAAGGATAATCAGACAGTTTTGGAAGAGTTAACAGAAAACTCTTAGCAGCAGCAACCAGAGCAAGCAAGTTACAGGAGGGATTATCTTTTTTCTTTGGTGATCACTTGTAGCCGAATAAGATTGTCTTCCATGAAAATGGTCTTAACCGGGACTCCGCAAGCGACTGTGGAGGCCAATTCTGGATCCACATGTCTTTCCACAGTGGGGACATAGGTTTCCAGGTGGGAGTTAATCACAGTGAGGGTTCGCCAAACGTGCCTTCCTCTTAGCTCATTTCTCCTTTTTACCCTGAGTTCATACTTCTTCAAAGTCCATGACACCTTTTGTAAATGCTGGACAGCTCCAATTGGAGTGATATGTATCCCTTTCAAGTCAGGGGTGCAGGACATCAGTCCCTTCCTCCAACTGTACAATTGCAAATTTTGCATTGAAAAGAACAGTGCATCGTTGTAACACCTTGAAGTTTAACTACCATATTTTTTGCACCATAACACTCACTTTTTTCCTCCTAGAAAGTAAGGTGAAATGTCTGTGCGTGTTATGGAGAGAATGCCTACGGATGGCGGGGGGATCTGCTGCAGTCGTGAGCAGAGGATTCATGGTTCCCCTTCCTTCCCTCCTCCGTGGCTCGCTTTGAAACAGCAAAGCGGGAGAAGAGCCGCTGAGTGGGGAGGAGAGAGGGACAGAGAGCCTGCTTGCTTTAAAGCACGGATCCACATGGATCCTCAGGATTTTTGCACTGGGTCACCCCAAATTCACCATCAGATCACATAGCATGTCCATGGCTACAGCTTGCACCAAAAAAATCACGCACCCACTGTTGCCTGGGGCCGCAGTGGTGCAAAAACATGGTTACAAAGCATGGATCCACATGGATCCTCAGGATTTTTGCATTGGGCTACCCCAAACTCACCGTCAGATCACATGTCTGTGGCCACAGAATGAACCACAAAAATCATACAGTCACTGTTTCGTTCAGAATATTTTTTTCCTTGTTTTCCTCCTCTAAAAACTATGTGCGTGTTATGGTCGGGTGTGTGTTATAGAGCGAAAAATACGGTAATTTACGGTGGCTAAGTGGAACACAGTCCAAACAGCTATTTTTAAAATGCGGTCACCTAGGTGAGTACATAGCTCTAAACTGCATACAGGGAGTAAGGGGGCAATTTGTGGGTTTGTTTTTCCCAAATTGAGGGCACAAATGCAATAAATTCAGTCTGTCATCATGCTATGTAGCTTACAACTAAATGCAAAAAATAATCAAATAAATACAAGAGCCAACCAACCTGCCAGAGATCCACTTCTGACTAGAGAAATACATCTAAAGAGGGACAATGCTGTTCTTTACAGAGTTATCCACTCCATTGGTTTGTTTAGATAAAATTCAAATTTTCTCATTAATTCTAAGTCTGCATCTGAATTTTCCCTACCCTGTTCAGGAGTTGACCAGGGCAACAAACAGGTATTTGCATAATCATTTATTCCTCTTTGCACAATGGGTTATTTCCAGAATTTGGAACCACACAATCATTACTAGTGGTAGCACCACAGGGGGGAAAAACCACTAGAGAAATATTGGAAAAGTTCCTTTGGTGAACTCTGAGGATGGGCTCAAGGTTGTTTGGTTCAACTTGTACTTCTTGCCTAGAATGTACTTCTTGCTTAGAATGCTGAGTCTCCATCAGAATGTGATGTCTTTAAGTTTACTGATATCCAGTGATCAATCCCCACTTCTTTTCTAGGCCACAAGATAGTGGAACATGGGGGGGGGGGGACAAGGAGTAGAAACTCATACATACCCAGAACTAGTGATATGCGGACACATTACTTTAAACTTTAGGACTCAAGGGACCTGTCTTCCTGCATTTCCCACCAGTTTCTTTTTAAAAAACATGTGCACATTAGGAAATTAGGAAAGTATTCCAGAGATTCTATAGAGATCTCTATAGGAAAGATAAAGAAGATAATAAGAGAATAGAAAATTACATCCAAGACCATAAACTACATCAAATCTCAGAAGAAGAAAAAAGAATGCTTAATCAGGAAATAACAGAAGAAGAGATCATGAAGGCAATAAAAAGAATGAAAATAGGGAAGGCCCCAGGACCGGATGGCATCTCAGCAAAATATTATAAAATACTATCACAACATCTAACACCAGTATTAAGTGAGGTAATGAATAAAGTCTTAAGAGAAGGAAGGATGCCAAACACTTGGAAATAAGCTTATATTACATTATTACACTTTGAAGTGTCATGCAGCAGGGAATAGCATTATAATCAAGAGAAAAACGGCCACGTGTTCAGTACAGTGTCCCCTCTCCCCTGCAATTTGCTTTGTAAAAAAAAGAAACAAACAATAGCACAGCAGTGCTTCACAAGTGAAAGTGGCTTTAGTGTGGATTCAGTCCTTCTCCTTCAGAGTCTTGGCTCTGGGCTCTTGGGTCATCCCTTTTAAGGGAGTGAGAAGGAAGGGGAAGAGTTCGTCTCTACTCTCATTTGCTCTTCCGTTTAAGATTGCAGCCTCCAAGGCTACTTTCCCAAATAAATAAATAAAGGAGAGTCCTCAGGTATGTGGCATCCAATTCAGTTCCAATATTACCCTGACTTTCTTACTTCCATTACAATCCATGAGGCTGAATAAATATAGGTTTGTTGACCGCAGGTCTCCTAAATCAGGAAAACAATTGCCTTTCAGAAGGGGCTCCTCTAAGCATGAACATGGGACTGCAGCATGGCTTGCACATTCATTTCGTCAGAATGGTGCAACCCAAGGGCAGCTGATGCAAGCACTTCCCACAGGGGAACATGGGAACACATAAAGGCTCCCTTGCACTGCTGGCATCACAGACATGTGTCCATGAGTAGAGGCAAGGCTGGGTGCCTCTTGCTGTAGCATCGGAGATGCAGGAAAAGTCCACCAGAATTGACTTGCTTCAAGTCCTCTAACAAGAGGCGGTTTGGTGAGTTGCATTTCCTTGACATCATTATAGACTCACCTTAACAAGGCTTAGGGGTTGTCAGTGCAGTAGGTTCAACTTAGGTGAGAACAGAGCAGAGAAACCCCATCATCAACGGTCTTGAAAGACCTACACTGGCTCCCAATACGTTTCCGAGCACAATTCAAAGTGTTGGTGCTGACCTTTAAAGTCCTCAACGGCCCAGTATACCTGAAGGAACATCTCCACCTCCATTGTTCTGCCTGGACACTGAGGTCCAGCGCCAAGGGCCTTCTGGCGGTTCCCTCGCTGCAAGAAGCCAAGTTACAGGGAACCAGGCAGAGGGCCTTCTCGGTAGTGGCACCCATCCTGTGGAACGCCCTCCCACCAGATGTCAAAGAAAAAAATAACTACCAAACTTTTAGAAGACATCTATAGGCAGCCCTGTTTAGGGAAGCTTTTAATGTTTAATAGGTTATTGTATTGTAGTGTTTTGTTGGAAGCCGCCCAGAGTGGCTGGGGGGACCCAGCCAGATGGGTGGGGTATAAATAATAAATAATAATAATAATAATTATTATTATTATTATCACATGACTTCGACTGTGGCAGACTTGAAGAAGAAGAAGGAAGAGAATCCTGAGCTGGCATGCAACTTCAGATCTGTCCAGTGCTATTTTTCTAGAAAAAGAGGTGCCAGAACTCACCATGAACACCTCCCTTGTTCTCTTATAATGCCAATGGCACCCACCAGTGTGCTGCCAGAACTGAGGGCACTGTGGACTTGGGGCATCTTCAGTATTTGCTTTACTACAAATATACGAACAGAACATACCACACAGAAACCAAAAGCTTACTGTAGCAGACAGTGCACATCACATTCCCAGAAATCAATGTGTGTAGCCTCCACTGCTCAGTGCCATACATATCCTAAGTCCAGTTCACTCAAGTTAGACACTCCTAGCACACTCTCACTCTCTTCTCTCTGGCAGCTCAAAACTCCCTCTCTCTCTAACACCCCACCCTGCAGAGCACCCCCCTGACAGCCCTCCTCCCCAGGATAATTCTAGTTGTCCCACTGGAAGGCATCCTCAGGCATTAAGTATTTTAACATTGTTTCTCAGGCTTTGACCAGCCCTTCACTGAGATAAATCTGGGCAAACTTGAACATACAGTGTTTCCAACCTCTCTCTTAAAGGGAAGAAAAGAGAAAATATGTGTGGTGCTACCTCAAAGAACAAATGAACACAAGGAATTTTGAACGGAAAGTCTGCTGGAATTATAGAAGTAGGGCTGGTATTTCCTCAGGGGCTGTTTCCTTGCCACTTAGCAACATCACACGCAAAACAGCAGGGTGGAAAAGTGACAATGTAATGCTGGAATTCAGGACCTTACATGAATCCAAAGGTGAGCCTAATCAAGTGTGAACCCTGAAGAAACCTGATGTTAATGAACTCGGAGAAGTACTAGGCAGGATTTCATGACTCCCTTTTGATAGAATGGGAACCTGAGCTGATTCAACAGAGACAAAGACAGAATTCTCCATTTGGGGAGTATCAATGCACACATATCAGAAGTGTGGGATGTGCTGAAAGCCATCAGCCAGGCTCCCAAGGAGCTGGTCCTTGACACAGACCAAGCTACTCAAAACCTCTACTGAGAAAACCAGAATATATGAGGTCAGTTAATGCAGTTGAAGGCTGACATGACTGCCATGCAAGCAGCACCCCATGCTGCCCCTGCCATGCGCCGCTAGTGCAGACCCGAGTCTTGTTCCCTGCCAAGTTCTGAAGAAACCGCCAAGAGTTTGAGCTAGGTGTGAGAGTACAGATGTCCGACTTTCCAAATGATTAGGCCAAAGTTGCATTTGCAATCAGTTTGTTTGTGGGGGAAGCCAGCCACTGGGTGGCCCCTTTCTAGTTGCCCGGCATGCTTATCAGATGAATTGTGGTACTTTTACCACAGACAAGACCGAGATGTATCAAAGGTCTACTGGGATAAATTAATTATCGAATATGATATTGCTCTTGGGTGCTTTGGAACAGATGGTTTTGAACTGAAGAATGTGGGGTAGATTTTGTAGTCAAAATCAAATTGTTAAATACTATTATCTTTATTTTGTGTTCAGGCTGCGATGGCTACTGTAGGAGGGAAAGGATCAGTTGCAGCTGGTGGAAAGGAATGGGATGTCTGAATAATCAGGCCTTTTTTTCTAATTCAGGGAGCAGCAAAGGGCACAGAAGAACAGTCTTTGACAAGATCATGTTCTCCATCAACGAGACAGTCAGTACTCCTGCTTTCCTCCTCACGGGCTTTCCTGGGCTAGAGAAACACTACACCTGGATTTCCATCCCCATCTGCTCCATGTACCTCACAGCCATCGCGGGAAACTGCACCATCCTCTTCATCATCAAGATGGACCAAACCCTCCATGAGCCCATGTACTATTTCCTCTCCATGCTGGCCATGACAGACCTGGGACTATCCTGTGTCACTCTGCCCACCATGCTGAGAGTTCTGTGGTTCAACCACCGCACAATTGGTTTCAACACCTGCCTGGTCCAGATGTACTTCATCCATACTTTCTCTATTCTTGAGTCAGGCATTCTAATCTCCATGGCCTTTGATCGTCTGGTGGCCATCCGGAACCCTCTGAGATATACATCTATCTTGACCAACAGAAACATCATCAAGATAGGAGTGGGGGTTGCCCTTCGGGCTGCCCTTCTTGTGTTCCCAGCCTCCTTCCTCCTGAAGAGGCTACGGTATGGAAAAGAGAATGTGCTCTCTTATTCATTCTGCTTGCACCAGGATATTCTGAAGGTGGTGCGTTCCAACAGGAAAATTAGCAGCATCTATGGCTTGATGGTGGTGATCTCCTCCATGGCTCTTGACTCTGTGTTGCTGGTTTTTTCCTATATCATGATCCTCAAAACCGTGTTGAGCATTGCCTCCAAGCAGGAGCGCCTTCGGGCCTTGAATACTTGCATCTCTCACATCTGTGCTGTCCTCACTTTCTATATCCCAATGATTGGCCTCTCTATGATCCACCGCTATGGGAAAAATGCCCCACCCATTGTCCACATCCTCATGGCCAATGTGTACCTTCTGGTGCCACCATTGATGAATCCCACTGTGTACAGTGTGAAAACCAAACAGATTCGAACAAGGATAGTTAAACTGTTTCAGAAGGGCAAAAGTTAACTGAAGTATCTTAGAAAAAACATTCAACACATTTATGTGTAGGAGGCTGTGTTGTTCCCAAGTCTGGATTTTGAAACTCATGCCCTTAATTTGCCCCGGTGAAGTTAGAGACTTGTAACCTGATTATGACTAGAGGGTGAAATCAGTTTTAAGAATGTATATGAAATTAATCAACAAAAGAACCCATTAAATTTATTGCAGTCTATGAAATATGTGGGGACGCAAGGGACGCTGTGATCTAAACCACAGAGCCTAGGGCTTGCCAATCAGAAGGTCGGCAGTTCAAATGCCCGCAACAGGGTGATCTCCAGTTGTTTGGTCCCAGCTCCTACCCATCTAGCAGTTTGAAAACACGTCAAAGTGCAAGTAGATAAATAGGTACCACTCTGGCGGGAAGGTAAACGGCGTTTCCGGGCGCTGCTCTGGTTCGCTAGAAGCGGCTTCGTCATGCTGGCCACATACTTGGAAGCTGTATGCCGGCTCCCTCGGCCATTAAAGCGAGATGAGCGCCGCAACCCCAGAATCGTCCACGACTGGACCTAATGGTCAGGGGTACCTTTACCTTTATGAAATATGTAAGCATAATCCACAAAGCGTATCAAAGGGAAATGAAAGTCACATTACGCATAAATACATCTCAGGGAAAGCAAAAGGTAAGGAACACAGACGTAGAAGTCAGTAATGCATGCTTTGAGATTTTTTTCTGTAAAATATAAAGTGGTATAGAAATTAAATGAATAATAATAATAAATAATATTATTTATTATTTATTCCTCCTTTTACTCACTTGTGTTAGTTTAACATCTAGTTAGCATCACTTTGCAGCATGAAATGCGGAAACTTCTGAGACAAGGTTGCTTAACCTTATTATTAATTATCTAGGATGCTTTTTCCTTCTAAACAAAATAATCACACAGAAGTCTGTAATGCATTAATAAAAATATTATTTATTTACATAAAGCTTCAGTCTTGATTCTATTCATCAAAATACAACTGAAAATAAAAGAAATAAAATCTCAAGCATTAAAAAACTGTTAAAAACATCAGAACACATTATCTAAAACAAATCTAAGAGCAGGTGTCACCAAATCATGTGAGGAATTCAACGTTGAGCTACGTTGAACGTACCACCAGTGCAAGCATTTCACCTTGACTAACAGAGCAACCTGCCTCTCCTTCCCACACATGCTATTCTGGGGCTTTTTCTGGGCCCACAGAGCCAACTTCAGGGATCACAGGAGGTATGCAGGTGTGGAAGCCATGATGGCTATGCTCTTCCTCCACAGCTGGAGGCAGGAATGTTCCTGGAGATCACAAGAGGGGAGAGGGTTCTTGCACAAAGGCACTACGTGTGGGCTTCTGGCTGGCCACCATGAGGCACCTGGCTGGCCACCATGAGAACAGGATGCTGGACTAGATGGGCCCTATTGGCCTGACCCAGCAGGCTCTCCTTATGCTCTGATGATGATGATGATGAAGAAGAAGAAGAAGAAGAAGAGGAGGAGGAGGAGGAGGAGTTTGGATTTGATATCCCGCTTTATCACTACCCGAAGGAGTCTCAAAGTGGCTAACATTCTCCTTTCCCTTTCTCCCCCACAATAAACACTCTGTGAGGTGAGTGGGACTGAGAGACTTCAAAGAAGTGTGACTAGCCCAAGGTCAGCCAGCAGCTGCATGTGGAGGAGCGGAGACGCGAACCCAGTTCCCCAGATTATGGGTCTACCGCTCTTCACCACACTGGCTCTCCACTGGGAGCATTCATTAGTTTTATCCTACCCAAAGTGTCTGGATAGACCTGCTGAAAGAAAAATGTTTTAAGCAGGCATCTCAGAGTACAGTGATGGCGCCTGCCTAATGTCACACAAGCTGCATTGAGCCAGTGTGTTAGTGTACTACAGGCACGTCCAGCAGGCAGATCGTCTGTGGTAGATCAGTGGCTCCCCCCAATGAAGCTCAACAACTTAGGCCTCCCTAAAAAAGCTCAACAGCTTTGACCTGAACCCCCTTGGGAGTTGGCCACCCCTAGTAGATGCACAACCAATAGGGCACCATATGGGAGATGGGCCCCTGGTTGCATTTTCTCTCTCTTTTGCACTTGAGCTTCCCACCAGTGAAGATGGCAGTAATCACCCAGAATGTGCCCATAATCAGCACCAGCTCCCAGGAGAGGGAGCAGGTCTCCCAAAAGCGATTCACAAGCATCCACTTAAACCTTCTCCGGTTATCTCAGCAAACACAATGACATTGTGCAAACAAGACGGGTATTTTCATTGTACACAGCAGAATAAACCTCTTAAGACTTTCAGAGGGGTAAGTTTTGCTAATTTTCACTCAGTTTCCTTCATGGAAAATTCATTCCCTCCTCCCAAAAATATTCTGATTCTGGCTGTTTTCAGCTGAAGGAAATCAGCCCTGAGTGCTCACTGGAAGGACAGATCGTGAAGCTGAGGCTCCAAGACTTTGGCCACCTCATGAGAAGAGAAGACTCCCTGGAAAAGACCCTGATGTTGGGAAAGGTTGAGGGCACAAGGAGAAGGGGACGACAGAGGACGAGATGGTTGGACTGTGTTCTCGAAGCTACCAGCATGCATTTGACCAAACTGCGGGAGGCAGTGGAAGACAGGAGTGCATGGCGCGCTCTGGTCCATGGGGTCACAAAGAGTCAGACACGACTAAACGACTAAACAACACAACAGCTGTTTTCAACTGAATGGGCTGTTATTTTTCTTTGCTTAGGGTACCCATTTCTTTATTCAACTTGTAGCTCAGGGAAGCTGTGATTCAAACCTCGCAGGGTGTTGGACTATACAAATCTATGATTTGAGGAAGCGAGGGTTGGGGCAGTGGTTGTTGCTTTAATGCCTGCTAATGGACTTTCCTTTGTGGCCTTGTGGGAAAGAGGGTTCTGGGCTAAGTGGGCTTACTTTGGTCTTCTCTAGCAAAGCTCTCCTTCTTAAAAAAAGAGTCCTGAATGACAGAGAACAAGGGTATGCAAACAGCACAGGCATCACAGATCCTGCTGGAGGGCACATTCTTGTTTCGGCTACATTTTCCTTCTATATCTCAGTCCTAACAGAACAGAGTTCTAATAGGACTCCAGTGCAAGAAAGACAAATGGTTGCCAACAGAGGAGGAGCAGAACCTAGTAAAAAGCTTATGTGGAGTATGGTGACCATGTTCTCCAAGCCCAAATACTTTTCTTTAGCAAAAGGTGCAACCTTGGTGCATTAATCCCTCTCCCTCTTGTTCCAAAGTTAAATGACTGGCTTGAAAAAATGGGACAGGGCTCAAACTGAGAGCTGCTGCTGATAATTTTATGGTTTTATCTTTTTTGTAATTGGTTTTGAGTTTTTTTCTACAATGATGTGAGATAGAAATTGTAGGAAATAAATAAATAAAATCTATTGATCTACCAGGGTCCTCTCCCTCTTACAGTGAAAGTCACATGATATCCAATTTCAAAATATGACCAATGTTCTTTTCCTTGAAAACTCGCAGAGTAGCAGAAGCCTAATGAACCTGACAACTGGATCAACAAGAATACGGCGAAGTGGAACAGAGATGCTCTGATGCCAGAGGCTGGAGGCAGAAACAAATAGTCCACTGTGTGCCATGTTGCCGGTCAATGACAGTGGTGCCCAGCAGCATCCTGCCTTCTTCCTCCTGGTGGGCATACCAGGCTTGGAGTGGGCGCAGGCTTGGATTGCCATCCCTTTGTGCACCATGTATGTCATTGCAGCCCTGGGAAACAGCATCATTCTCTACGTGATCAAGACTGAGCCCAGACTGCAGGAGCCCATGTACCTTTTCCTGGCCATGCTGGCCATCACCGACCTAGTTCTTTCCACCTCCACCGTGCCCAAAATGCTGGCTGTTTTCTGGCTCAGTGCTGGGGCCATTGACTTCCATGCCTGCCTGGCCCAGATGTTTTTCATCCATGCCTTCTCGTCTGTCGAGTCGGGCGTGCTCATGGCCATGGCACTCGACCGCTATGTGGCCATTTGCTACCCGCTCCAGCATTCGGCCATCCTCTCCTTGCAAGCCATAGGGACCCTGGGCAGCCTCGTTCTTCTGCGTGCAGTTCTCCTCATCAGCCCCTTTGCCTTCCTGGCTAACAGGCTTCCCTACTGTGGCCACCAATTCATTTCCCACTCCTATTGTGAGCACATGGCTGTGGTGAAGCTGGCTTGTGGGAACATCCGAGCCAACGTTGTTTACGGCCTCTTTGTGGCTTTTGTGGTTGTTGGATTCGATATCTTCATCATTGCTATGTCCTATGTCATGATCCTCAAGACCGTGTTGAGACTCCCATCCCAAGACGCTCGTTTGAAAGCCTTTGGGACCTGTGCATCCCATATCTGTGTTATTCTTTCTTTCTATATTCCAGCTCTCTTCACTTTCCTCACTCACCGGTTTGGCCACAATGTCCCCCACCATATCCACATTATAGTGGCTATTCTCTACCTTCTGGTGCCCCCCACTTTGAATCCTGTTATATATGGGGTGAAAACCAAGATGATCAGGGAGAGGATTCTCACTATATTCCTTATTTCAGGTGGACAAAGAACAACTTTCAGGGAGGGCACATAGCTCAATGGTGGCTCACAGGGTTTGGATGGAGAACCCCTTAAATTCAATCCCAGGCATCTCCAGTTAAAACCATCTCTTGTATAAAGGCTAGGAATTATATTTGTCTGGCACTTTGGAACATCCAATGAAGCTGAATGTTGCAAGATTCGGAAGAGATAAAAAGGGCTTCCTCATGCAGAGCAAACTGTGGAACTCCCTCCCACAGCAGGCTGTGATGGCCACAACTTTGATGGCCTTAAAAGTGAATTCATGGAGGAGAGGGCTGTCAAAGGCTACTAGCATAAAGGTAACCAAACACGCATTGGTTAATATGGTATTAAAAATAAAGAAAGATTATAAGGAAGCCAGAAGATGGAGGTTAGATACGAGGATCTTCCATAATAGCCAAACAGTAAATAAGATGGGGAAAGAACTATTAGACACATGGGAGATTAAGGAGAAGGTGCAAAGTACTCAAGCAATAATATGAGATAAGATGAAAGAAGTGATGAGGGGAATTAGTATTAGGGAATCCAGTAAATTTGGGGGAAAACAAGAGATGAGAGAATTAGAAGAAGAAATTAGGAGGCTGGAAAACCAATATATTAATGGTAAAGATAAAAGAAGTTATCCATAATAATAATAATAATAATAATAATAATAATAATAATAATATATTACTTATACAACCGCCAATTTGGCTACAGATAGAAAGGAGAGAATTGGAAAATAAAGATATGGAAATAATGCAGAGGGGTTTGCTATGTGTTCACATGTGGTGGGTGTGTAAATATGTACAATTTTTTGGCAAAGGGTGTTTAAGGAGATAACAGAAATCACTGGGTTAAAGCTGGCTGAAAGCCTAGAGGTAGCACTATTATCAATTTATAATGGGGTGGGAGGTTTGAAGGCTATGAAGGTCTTGCTCACAAATTTATTGACAGCTACAAGGAGTTATTATAGCAAGGAAGCGGAAGGGGCAAGGTGAGTATTGTTATGGTAAAATCTGGGTGCGAGGCTGCTCTGCCACCCAGCTCGTCGGACTAAGTCCGCGGGTCCCTGCGGAGGAAAATGAGCTCAGCCAGAGACAGGAGCAAACTGCAGAAGATCCAAGTTTATTGTGCAACAGGTTCAAGGCGAGATTGAACAGCGAGAAAGGGGCGACATGAACTTTTGAAACTTCCCTCCATGTCCCAGAATACAGTGCAAAATACATCCCAGTTACATCATGAATACATTAAGAAGAGGTTGGGTTACACAGATTACATCATGAATACATTAAGAAGAGGTTGGGTTACACAGGATTCCATCATGAATACATTAAGAAGAGGTTGGGTTACAGAAGGAGACAAATTGAAATTGCAGAGTTTCGAGAAATTAAAAAACAAAGTGTGAGATTGGCTTCATTATTATCAGATAATGGAGGCATACAATTTGGATAAGAAAATTGGCTTCCAGGTGGAAAAATCAAAACTAGAAACAGAATTGTTAGAACCCAAAACTAAGAATTTGTCAAGAATGTATAACTTGCTGTTGAAATGGAATACTCAGGATGAAACGGTGAAATCTGCTATGATTAAATGGGCACAAGATGTTGGACATAATATTATGTTTGCTGACTGGGAACAGTTATGGACCACAGGTATGAAATTTACGGCATGTAATGCCCTAAGAGAGAATATTATGAAAATGATATACAGGTGGTACATGACCCCAGTCAAGCTTGCAAAAATCTATCATTTGCTCAATAATAAATGTTGGAAATGTAAGGAAACCGAAGGTACATTCTTTCACCTTTGGTGGACGTGCCCAAGGATTAAGGCTTTCTGGGAAATGATATATAATGAACTGAAAAAGGTATTATAATATACCTTCTTGAAGAAACCAGAGGCCTTTCTCCTGGGCATAGTCGGCCAATTGGTGTCAAAGAAGGATAGAACTTTTTTTATGTACGCCACAACAGCAGCAAGAATACTCATTGCAAAGTATTGGAAGACACAAGATTTACCCACTTTGGAAGAATGGCAGATGAAGCTGATGGACTATATGGAATTGGCAGAAATGACTGGCAGAATCCGAGACCAGGGAGAAGAGTCGGTGGAAGAAGAGTGGAAGAAATTCAAAGATTATCTACAGAAATATTGTAAAATTAATGAATGTTAGAATGATGTTGGATAGAAATTAAGTGGTTTCCAGCTGTAATGCTTTAAGGGAATATGAAAAATGGGTCATAAATAGGTAAAAATCTAATGCTATTATTTTTAAGATCAAGGATTAGGATAATTAAAGAGGGTAAGGATTTGCTGAACCAACAGATTAAAGTGGAATACAAAAAAGGGAGGTATGAGGAGGTCCGGGAAACAAGCTAAAGGAAAATAAGTAATGGAAAATCTGTGTGTTTTTAACTATTTTTATTTTGTATTTATGTTATTTTTTTTCATTTTTATTGTAATATTTTAAAAAATCTTAATAAATATCTTATAAAAAAAAAAGAGGTTGGGTTACACAGGATTAACATATGGAGGAGGGAGGGGGAATATGCAGAGCTGGAGATATGCGCAGATAAGCACATCCTGAGTACCGGTGATGAGAAGACAATGGTCCATGTATGCCTAGTCTGCCACCTGGCATTGCCCGGAGGAAAGGCTTGGCAGAGTGATTTGACAGGATTAGGGTCTTGACACCTTGTTTGAGGGATTATGGAGGACAGGGAAGGTGTCATGGAGTCCTAGAGAAATTGAGCAAATTGGCACGTTGATTTTCTATGAATTTTATAGATTTTAGTCCCTTTTGACATTGACAATTGGACTCGGAAATAAATGGATATATTGTAGCGAAGAAGGTGAAGAAGACATGCCCCCTCCTTCCGTATCAGTATAAAATGGAAGAATGGTACAAAGAGGTGTGGAATATAGCTATCCATGATAAATTAACATATGCTATTAAGATGGGGAATATGCAGCAGAAATGATTTTGAGGAGATATGGAAGGTGTTTGCAGAATTTGCACTGTTAAAATGGAAAAGGTCAACCCATCGCAAGAGGTGTTGAAATTTGGGAGGCTGGATAGTTATAATGGAATGGTCTCGGGGTGAGGTGCACATTTTTATTCTTATTTATTTATTATTATTACTTTGTCATAATAAAAAATAAAAAGAAATCAAAAGGGCTACTAACCACGTCGGCTATGCTCTGTTTCCACAGATGGAGGCAGCAATGGTCCTGAATACCAGTTGCTGGAATAAGTATTACCTCCAGCTGTGGAGGAAGAGCAGAGCCATCCTGGCTCGTTGCCATCCATAGCCTTCTCTTCCTCCATGAATTTGTCTGATCCTCTTTTAAAACCATCCAGGTCGGCTGTCGTCACTGCCTCCTGTGGGAAAGAGGCTCTTCCTGTAGCTGAAGAGCCGGTAGGCCAGTCAGTGGGGATGGCCAAGTGGAGGGCAAGTCAGAGGGCTGGACTTCAGTCCCATTAGCAACTATGCACCACCATTGGCACAGGCACAGATTCAGTCCCCTGCCCCAGGTGGGTGTTTGCTTTCAATTTTAACCTTCCCACCTGGGACAAGAGTAGCCCAAGTGAAGGGCCCTGCTCCTTTCCTTTAAAGGGACAGCAAAACGGGTGTGTCAAGTGTTGGGATGTCTTTGCTTATTCCTAACCATGTATCCTAGGGATGCGGGTGGCGCTGTGGTTTAAACCACTGTGCCCGTCAGGCTTGCCTATCGGAAGGTCAGCGGTTTGAGGCCCCGCGACAGGGTGAGCTCCAGTTGTTCGGTCCCAGCTCCTGCTAACCTAGCAGTTCGAAAGCACACAGTGAAAGTAGATAAATAGGTACCGCTCCGGTGGGAAAGTAAACTGTGTTTTTGTGCGCTGCTCTGGCTTCGCCAGAAGCGGCTTAGTCATGCTGGCCACATAACCTGGAAAAACTGTCTGCGGAAGCGGACAAACGCCGGCTCCCTCGGCCTGTAAAGCGAGATGAGTGCTGCAAGCCTAGAGTCATTCGCGACTGGACCTAAATGTCAGGTGTCCCTTTACCTTTAACCGTGTATCCTAGCTGCTGCTGGTGCACCCTTCCAACTGTGTAACCTGTACTTTGAGCTGATGCCGAGACCACCTGCTCATTTCATTAATAAAACTTTGGGATTTCCTGAGTTGGGAGCCTGAGTCTTTCATCAGAGGGTGGGAACCAGCAGAGCTGTGAATGCATAATGAAACCCTGAGAGGAGGCCATAAAGAGACAAAACAGCCTAAACTACTGATCCAGAGGGAAATCTTGTGCTTTCAGAACCACTGGGGCCATCTGCACACAGTGCGGCACTGAAGAAAGCTGCATAAATGCTCCCTCTACTCTTAGAGCACATAAAGACATAAGAAGAGTCTGCTGTGTCAGACCAAAGTCCAGGATCCTGCTTCCCACAGGGAACAGCTAAGGGGTAGGACATGCAAAGGCCGATGGTTCCTCCTCCTGCTGTTGCCCCCGTGAAGTTAGCATGTTTGTTTCAAGCGCCTGTTGCTCAGCACCAGAAGTGAGTATCACCACTGGATTACTCTGGCTGACACCCGGGACCTTCACTTGCCTTTGAGCACTGCACAGAGCCACATAATTTGGTTCTGTACTGGATTTTGTTAGGCTATTGCTTAGTGCAGGGATAAAAATACACCAGACCTTGATGGTCTGGGGTCTTTCTTTCTAGAGGGTAAAAATATCATTTGGGCACTCCTTTGTTATTACTGGGAAATTGGAAGGGGAGGGTGAGGGACCACCACCACCACGAGCCTTGCCTCTCCACACCACAAGGCAAAGACAAAGAGTCTGTTGCTTGCGACCTGGACCTGAACCTAAGGGAGTCAAGGTTAGGCGATTGTGGGGTGCTCCAAGGACTCCCTATTACATTGCTAAGTGGAAAGTGGCTTACAAGTACTATCTGAGTAAGTGAAAGAAAATCTAAAGTACAAAGCAATGCCCGTGAGCCTATTAGTTTAATGCAATAACAATACAGACCCCAACCGGGAGAATGTGAGTTGGGGGTTTTTAAAGCACTGGAGGATATTGGACACACACTCAACATTTTACTTTCTCTGTACTTTCTGTAAGCTGGTTTTTAGTAAATAACGATTTCAGAAAATGACATATATTTTGTTTAAAAAATTACTGTATCAAAAATTGCATGCCCATTGACTAAGTGTATGTGTGTGCATGCATAAGAAAGTAATTAATAAAATATGCCTTTTTAAAATGCCATATACCAGCAGAATGTGCAGGAAGTTCTAGGAAAGGGTAATTTTAGAATAAAGATAATGCACTTGTTGAACCCATTTACTGGTGTACTTACCATAATGGCCAGAAAATATTGCCTCCCCTCCCCTCCAAAAAGAACTTGACAAACAGCATCCGAGAGAACAATGTCATTCTGTTAGGATATTTTCAGAATTAGGTGCAAGGGAACATATACATATATACAGTTCCAGTAGGAAATGCAAGAACATCCTGTTTTCACAATGGTGAAACAGATGCCTGTTTCCAGTAACTGGCATTCAGAAGCACTGCTGCCTCCAACTGCAGTGATAGAATGTTTTATTCTATGTCTTTGCCGCGGGATCCCATTCACCCAGTGCTTTACCAGCTGCACTGGCTCCCAGTGGAGTACAGGTTCAGGTTTAAGGTGCTGGTTTTATGGCCTAGGACCCTCGTACCTACGGGACCGCCTCTCCTGGTATGTCCCATGGAGGACCTTACAGTCTGCAAATAACAACACCCTGAAGATTCCGGGCCCCAGGGATATTAGACTGGCCTTGACCAGAGCCAGGGCCTTTTTGGACGTGACCCCGGCCTGGCAGAATGCTCTCTCACAAGAGACCAGGGCCCTGCAAGATTTGACATCCTTCCACAGGGCCTGCAAGCCGGAGCTGTTCCGCCAGGCCTTTGGTCAGGGTTCAGTCTGACTCTTTGTTTTCTCTTTGTATAAGAACAAGCACGAAGGAGGTTTCCCAGCCTGCTCACAGGTCCTTATAATATCAGTGGAAACAGTTGGTCCTGGCGAGTATTAACCGCTTTCAATTTCACTTGAGGATTGTTATTTGTCCAGTTTTAACTTTAACTTTAATTTATTTGAATTCATTTTGGGATGCATTTTAATCAACTGATTGCTTGTTTTTATGCATATTGTATTATTTACAGTGGTGCCCCGCAAGACGAATGCCTCGCAAGACGGAAAACCCGCTAGATGAAAGGGTTTTCCGTTTTGGAGGTGCTTTGCAAAACGAATTTCCTATGGGCTTGCTTTGCAAGACGAAAATGTCTTGCGAGTTCCTGCGGGGTTTTTTCCCTCCCCCCCCCTTTTCCCCCAGGCCGCTAAGCCGCTTATCAGCTGATCCGCTAAGCCGCTTAACAGCTGATCACTAAGCCGCTTATCAGCTGATCCGCTAAGCTGCTTAACAGCTGATCCGTTAAGCCACTAAGCCGCTTATCAGCTGATCCGCTAAGCCGCTTAACAGCTGATCCGTTAAGACACTAAGCCTCTTATCAGCTGATCCGCTAAGCCGCTTAACAGCTGATCCGTTAAGCCACTAAGCCGCTTATCAGCTGATCCGCTAAGCCGCTTAACAACTGATCCGTTAAGCCACTAAGCCGCTTATCAGCTGATCCACTAAGCCCGCTAAGCCGCTAATAGCGCTAATCCGCTAAACCGCTAATGGGCTTGCTTCGCAAGACGAAAAAACCGCAAGACAAAGAGACTCGCGGAACGGATTCTTTTCGTCTTGCGAGGCACCACTGTATAAGATGTTAGCTACTCTGAGCCCAGCTCCGGCCGGGGAGGGTGGGGTACAAATACAAAATTATTATTATTATTATTATTATTATTATTATTATTACATGACAAGGGTTGGGGGTTGTTGGGGTGGGAAGAAAATGTCAATAATAGAGACGTGGCTCAGCAGCATCTAACAACGTTTATCTCCCCGCTTTCTTCCATGCAACTCAAGGCTGTGTCTGTAGGGATACCCACTCCACTTGATATGAGAATAGGGGAGACACTTGCCCAGAACACATAGCTGCCCTTCACTGCACCAAATGTCAATTATGATAGATGTGCTTCAGCCCCACTGGAACCAATGTGGAAAGTTTAGCACATGACTTAAGTCCTATTTGATTTCAGTGGCAGCTAAACACAATTCACCGGATGTAACCCATACTATTAAGATTTTTCTAAGAAAGCAATTTGTTCCATGCATTATTTTCAAGTAAGCACAACTGTTTACCATATTATGTATTTTTGTGTTTTTATATTGTAAACTTCCCTGTGATCCTCAGATGAAGGTTGGTATATAAATGTAATTAAAACAAAAACAAAAAATGAACTCAATAGGGTTTACTGCCACATAAACGAGCAGGTGCTTGGCCTGCTAGAATGAAATATAGACTCACAGAATTGTAGGGTTGGAAGGTAACACAAGGGTCATCTAGTCCATCCCCTTGCAAAGCAGGAATCAAAGACCAAAATATCTCTGACAGATGGCCATCCAATCTCTCTTTAAAAACACCCAGTGCAGGAGAGTCTGCCACTTTCCAAAAGAGTCAATTCCACTGCTGAACAGCTCTTTCAAAAAGCTCTTCGTAATGTCCTATCCACCAGAGCAGCAGAAAACCAGCTTGGTCAATCATCCATGAGATGGACTTTTAGATATTTGAAGATGGTCATCATATCACCTCTGTCTTCTCTTCTTCAGGCAAAGCATCCCCAAGTCTCTCAACTGTTCCTCGTAAGGCTTGGTTTCCGGACCCTTGTAATGCCTAGCTTTCCCTAAGTCTACACCTAAGGGAATCCCTAATTTATGCTATTCATACTGACACCTTTAAAGTTATTTAGCAGGGGAATGCTTTCGTTGTTGAGGATGCACAAAGTTCACATGCTGTCTCAATTTCTGGCTCTTCCCTCCACTGCAGCCAGCAAGACTATCCATGTGCCATGCCTCCCATGAGTGATGTCTGTATTTAACGGGAGCTATGCCACCCCCTACTCCTTTATCCTGCTGGGTATCCCTGGTCTGGAAGCGTCCTACTACTGGCTCTCCATCCCTCTTTCTTCAATGTATGTCATCACATTGCTAGGAAACTGCACCATACTGTATACAATCAAAACAGAGCAGAGCCTCCACAAGCCCATGTACATCTTCCTCTGCATGCTTGCTAGCATAGACCTGGTGCTCTCCACCTCCACCCTGCCCAAGATGCTCTGCATCCTCTGGTTCCGAGCTGGGGAAATAGATTTTGGTGCCTGCATGGTCCAAATGTTCTTCATCCACTCCTTCTCCATCATGGAGTCGACAGTGCTTGTAGCAATGGCCTTTGACCGTTACGTAGCTATTTGCAATCCTCTGAGATACGACTCCATCCTAACCAACCCACTGCTGGCCAAGATTGGAGCAGGGGTCATCCTGAGAGGCACAGTCTTCATAATCCCAATCATCATCTTGGCAGCCCGTCTTCCATACTGCAAGACCAACGTCATCCCCCACACTTACTGTGAGCACATGGCTGTGGTGAAGCTGGCCTGCTCAAGCATCCTTGCCAATGTTGTCTATGGGCTTCTGGTGGCTCTCCTCGTAGTGGGGGTGGATTTGCTGTTCATCACTTTGTCCTACTGGATGATCGCCAGGGCTGTCATGGCTCTGCCGTCAAAAGACGCCCGCTATAAGGCTTTCAGCACCTGTGCACCTCATGTGGTGGTGATCCTGGTCTCCTACACCCCAGCTCTTTTCACCATCTTAACACACAGGTTTGGCCATCATGTTCAGCCTCACGTTCACATCCTTCTGGCCAACTTCTACCTCCTTTTCCCGCCCATGCTGAACCCCATTGTGTATGGTGTGAAGACCAAGGAGATCCGTGAACGAGTGACTCACATAGTTCTCAGGAGGAAGCGACCTACATAACAACACTCTCTCAATAAGGGCTTGCAGTGTTGAATGCAACATCTAGAAGGCCACAGACAGTAAAGAAATATTAAAAAGTAGTAAGGGTGTAAGCACTTTTTTTTAATCCTATGTTTTTTCATCTTAACGGGTGGTATTCAACTGACTCTTACTCAGAATAGACCCATCAAAATTAATGAATATGACTAAGTTAGGCCCATTAATTTCAGTGGGTCTACTCTGAATAAAACTTAGCTGAATACCACCCAAAGTCTTTTTGTGCTTTATTGATGTTATATCTGGTGTTCAACATATCTGTGAAATTGTTCGTGCTTCTGTAAGTATATACAGCTTTATCCAATGTTAGTCCTACTCAGAGCAGACCCACTGGAATTTAATGGTCATGAGTAACTTAGGGTTAATGGGTCTACTCTGAGTGGGACTGGCATTGGCTATAGCCCATAATATACAGAATATGCTTAATTTGTTTTATTCTCTCTGCAGCTGTATTTATGTCAAATTTAGATTCATCTTTTTAAAATGTGTTTGCAATTGTTTTACATGAATTGTAATCCCCTTATATGGTTTTTGTTATACTACAAGTTTTGTGTAACTTTTTTGTGATATAGTAAATAAACATTTGTTGTATGTAGACAGCTCAGAAATCCCTGTACCCGGAACCCTATTGTACCTGTTATAATTCCCTGTCATGGTCACAAGGATCTCCAGAGCACAAGACTCTTAAAATGAAAGGTAGCCTGAGACAGGCAGATGCCAAAAACAACACTAACACTGTTAGTGTTAGATGCCAAAAACAACACTGAAAGGGATCCTGAGGGTAATCTAGAACTGGATGTAATACCCCAGGTGTGGCCTAAGGAAGGCAGAATAGAGCGGTACAATTACTTTCTGTGATTGGAACACTATAATTCTGTTGATGAAGCCTAGAACAGCATTGGCTTTTCTTTGCTGCTGCATCACATTGCTGACTCACGTTAAGCCTGTGGTCCGCTAAGACCCCTAGATCCTTTTCACATGTACTACTAGCTAGCCAGATGTTCCACATATTATATTTGTGCAGCTGATTTTAAAAAATAAATAAATAATTCTCAACACTGCCATAAAAGGAAGAACTACTTCAGGTTAGAAGAGATTTTAAGTAGGAAAATAGATGGGAGAGCTTCCCCACTCACAAAGGTACTTAGATCATAATGTTGATCTGGAAAGTGAAGAGTGTGTCTGTGTGTATGCTGGAAAAAGTACTCTTGTTCCCAAGAGCACCTGTTGGCTATCTAAGGAAGAGGGGAGAGGGAGGCATCCTTGCCCACAGAGGTCTTTGAATGCAACTGGCGGAGGCTGAAGGGAATTAGAAGCCTTCTCTTGGGTGCTGACCAGACTGACCTATAAATAAGACCTGGCAGCAGTTCCCGCCACCGGATCCTAGAGAGGCTGGAAAGGGCACTGGGCAGAGCATGGCCACTTCTTCAAAGGGAGATTCTGCAATCTGCTAAGGTGAGTGACTATATTTAGCCCCAGGCAGGTTATATCACCCAGGTGCTGTTCCCCTATAAGAGCTGGTGATGACTCCCTCAGGTGGATGCAGAAGCAGCATGGAAGGCAGAGGTGACCATCTCCATAGCCTGTGTCTTCACCCAGCCAGTGGGATTAGGCTTTTTAGGGCTGGAATTACAGTCAATTGCATGAAAGAATACATTCTCCCTTGAAGACCTGCTGAGATTTTGGACCCAGCTTGGAAAGTAAGCTGGACTGGCTTTTATATACAGGGAAGTGTACGCTGAGAGGCAAAGGCTGCTGTTAAAACATCAATTTAATCTTCTAGCTGAAAGCCCCCTTGCTAAGTCTGGGGCCATAGATGCAGCAATGCTTCTGAATTCCAGGTGCTGGAAACCACGGGAGGTGAGAGAGGTGGTCCTCAGGTCCTTCTTGCAGCTTTCCCACAGGCATGTGACTGGCCACTGTAAGAATATGATGCTGGACTAGTTGGGACCCCATTGCCCTAATCCAGAAGGGCTCATTTTATATGCATACTGTACTCTCCAAGGAAAAGCATGAGGGAGCTTTCAACACATAACTGATATGCCCAAAAGAGACATGTCATGTCATAATGTATTAGGCAAATGGATTCTGTAGAAGCTGGCAATATGAATCTGACATCTAGCCCACAGATTACCTGTGCAAAATCCACAAGGGATTTTCTTGTTGTTTAACTTTCTCCACATGCACACACCCCTAGATAATTCCACAGGGTAGAGCATCACATCAGAAACAAACCAGGAATAGACAGGCAAAGCAGATTTAGCAAAGCGGGTGAGACTTCTTTTTTTGATGTATCTCATGTCAGAATCTCCCAAACGTCTCTCCTGTCTCTTGCTACCTGACGCCTTTAACTGGAGATGCTGTTAGGAATTGAGCCTGGGACTTCCTGCATATTTATTTATTTACTTGCAGTATTTCTTATATTTATATACTACCTTTTATTTCAAGGAGCTCACGGTGGTGAACCTGGTTCTCATCTCCCCATTTCACCCTCACATCAACCCTGTGAGGTAGGTGAGGCTGAGAGACAGTGGCTTGTCCGAGATCGCCCAGTATGTTTCATGGCCAGGTGGGGATTTGAACTCCTGGGCCCTGCAACTGGACTATGGGTCCTCACTATTTACATATCCAGTTGGGGAAAGCTGCATCTGTGAACTTTTGCCGGGTATCCAGCTGTTAAAGGCTTCAAGAGCCTTATCACCAGTTGCTACTGTTATACCAGCAGAGTAAGAAGGTGCAAATTTTTCAGGCTGAAGAGTTTCACAGAATCATAGAGTTAGAAGGGATCCCAAGGGTCATCTAGTCCAACCCCCTGCAATGCAGGAACAGCTAGTGAGGAAGGACTAGGCAGGAGATAGCAGAAGCAGCTGGGGGAGGGTTGGCTGAGATAACTATATACATTTTGCTACTTGACTAAATGAAGAAAATATCGCTGAATGCTCAATTAACGTTAGCGTCCTTTAAATGTAGGCAGCCAGGCACACTAGTATCTGAGTATTGGCTCTGAGTATCTATCACACTCCTGAGTGCTGTTACCCAATACTTAAATTTTCGACTGTTGTATCGCTGCCAACCTTCACCATTAGGCCACGCTGAAAGCTTGTATTTCTTCCTGCCAGCAGGAATGGGGTTGAGCAACCAGACTAATTTATACCTGCTGGTGGAAACAAGACCTCAAAATGGTGGTGTGAAATTTTGCTGGATGCAGAACATGCCCTTTAACTGTTGCCTGCCTCCCCCACCTCCAGATTAACAAGAAGCTTCTCCTTTGCACAGGCCATAGGAGGAGTCCCAAGGCCCCTCCAGTCTAATATGTCTGCCTTTGGCGGCACTTACAATGGCACCCTCCACCCTTCAATCTTCCTCCTGCTGGGGATCCCAGGGCTGGAGGCGGCCCACGTCTGGCTGGCCATCCCCCTCTGCTTCATCTACGTGGTGACTGTGTTGGGGAACTGCACCATCATGTTCGTCATCTGGGTGGAAGAGACCTTGCATGAGCCCATGTACTTATTCCTCTGCATGCTGGCTGTCATTGACCTGGCTGGATCTACCTCCGTTGTGCCCAAAATGCTTTGCCTCTTCTGGTTCGGCTCACGAGAGATTCGCTTTGAAGCTTGCTTGATGCAGATGTTCTCCATCCATGCGCTGTCCATCATTGAGTCGGCCATTTTGTTGGCCATGGCCTTTGACCGCTACATGGCCATCTGCCAGCCGCTGCGCTATGCGGCCATCCTCACAAATCCTGCCATCGTGAAGATTGGCTGCCTGGCGGTTGCCAGGGGGGCCATTCTGACTGCCCCATTCCCCATCCTTGCCAGCAGGCTGCCTTACTGCCGAACCAATGTGGTCCCCCACACCTACTGTGAGCACATGGGCATCGTCAGGCTGGCCTGCGCTGGCACTGTGATCAGCAACATGTACGGCTTGACCGTGGCCTTGCTGGTGGTGGGCCTGGATTTAACGTTCATTGGTGTGTCCTATGCAAAGATCATTGTGACCGTGCTGAGGCTGCCATCTCGGGAAGCCCAGGCCAAGGCCTTCAACACCTGTGGCTCCCATATCTGTGTGATTGTCTTGGCCTACACACCTGCCCTCTTCTCCTTCCTCACACACCGCTTTGGCCACAATGTGGCCCCCTACATTCATATCCTCATCGGCAACTTCTATATTCTGGTGCCTCCCTTCTGCAATCCCATCGTCTATGGTGTGAAGACCAAGCTGATCCGTGACAAGGTGGTCGGCTTACTCCTGAGGAGAAAAGATGTCTCCTAAAAAAAAAATAGAGGCATCTGGACACCTACTGGTGGGGCAGTGAATGCCAAAAAGAAAAAAGAAAGGACACAAATCCACTCACTCTTGGTCTTGGACCAGAATCATATCTCTTATGAAGTATATGAACATTTTAAAAATTCCCATAATTAAAATATGCACTAAAACAACACAGCAATTAAAGTAGGAGAGACAGGCTGAGAGATCAAGGGAAGGCAGGTGCAGATAGGTGCCAACACACAAGGGGTCTCTTGTATTTCAACAGGGAGTGCATTTTATTACACCAGGGCCACCAGTGTCCCCTAAAAACAAATAATGATTAGGTCAAGACAAGACTAGCCAAATTCCATTTGTTGATCTTAATCCCCTTTAGCAGGTACCGGAGGGGAATACAATCTTCCAGATAGTTCAAGGTGTTGGTCCTAACACACAAGTCCTTATGCAGCTCAGGACCAGGTTACCTGAGAGTTATTTCTTATCTACACTGTAGTCTGCAAGAGAGTCTTGTAGTCTGCAGATCACTGTAGCCTGCAAGAGAGTTTCTCTTGCAAGTTTCAAAGATCTCAAAAGCCTCCTCCGCAGTGTCTCAGAGCAAGGCTTTTAGAATGGCTGTCTTGGTCTGTGGAATAGGGTACTTCTCAAGGTAACAACAGGTACTATCTGCACATTCTGGAAATGACTGAGTACATTTTTGTTCCAACAGACTTTCTCAGTTGGATAAATGGATCTTTACCACAAAACTTCATTGTTTTAAATGAATTTGTATTGTGTTTAAATTGAGACAGTGGTTTAGAAGATAATAAATAACAACAACAACAACTTGTACAGAGTTGTTTAGGGCTTACACACACACACGACCTTAATACTGGCTTGCTGACTAACAGGCAGCCAGTGTAGATCCTTTAGCATGGATATATGTGCCTGGTAAAGGGCCCTACTCACCACCACAAACTCAGTGTTCTGCACCAACTCCAGGCTCCAGGTGCATATACCGGGGGATATGTCACAATGGCCTAGGGATAGAGAAGAAATTTGATTCAGTTTGCATCTAAAGGCTAATCTAACTAACTTGCAGTTCACACACACACAAAAAAAAGATCCGAAAAGCAGGCACCTTTCAAAATTCACACTTCTCCAGATTTTGCAATGCAGTTCTCCAACCAAGTTATGGGTATAAGAATGCACGTACTGGGGAAAGTGTGTGAGCAAATGCATGCATCACTGAAAATAACATACAAAGATACATCAGGGGAAATATGCTTAGCAAAATATGCGTGTTAGGTGAAACTGCATATGGTTCTAATCCATACAGGGGATTCCCACCATCACCACATATCAAACATTGCGTGTTCAAAAGCTTTTGAGGAGGTTGCAAGACCTGGAAAAAGCTTTTGTAATTGGATTTCCAAACAAATGAATGGCCACATGCTCCTGGGGTTGCTGGCCTACATGCTTCCAAGGAGAAAGCATAATCTCCCCCTCTAGTATTGTCACAGAAGTTTCAAGACAACCACGCTGTATTCTTTTCCACCTTCTGCTAAAAACATTTTTGTCTGGACGAGCCTGTCCAGATGTTTAGAAAGCTGGTCAAGTTTAAATGTTTTGCTTCTAGTCTATTGTTACCTTTCCAAAAGTTTTATTTTAAAACGCTTACGTAGTAGTTAAGTTCCACAAGGATGCATTTCAAAAAGACCGTAAAAGACTTAAAAGTCTCCTTCACCAGAGCCTACAGATGTGCTGGCAGCTGGACGAAGGCGGCTGGGACATCCTGACCTCTGAGATTATGGGCACCTGGGAGCCAACGTTGCATCCTGGCTCCATCCAAAAACAATAAACCCACTTCAGCCTTTTTCAATTTACATTTCTTTTTTAAAAGTTTTAATGGTTTTTAGCAATATTCTTACGGGGTGTTTTTGTAAACTGCTTTGAGGTTTGCTTGTTACAATCAAGTGGTATATAAAATTTACGGACTAAATAAAACAAACATTTAAACTCCTGCCAACATTTTGAAAAAAATGTTTTGTTTTTGCTAATTATTTTATTAGGCTTTTTGGTTTTGTTTTGTAAACTGCTTTGAGGTGCTGGCAATTTTTTCCCCAATTGAGAAATGCATAAATGTCATGAGCTAAATAAAATAAGCATGTAGCATTGGGGGTTTTTTAAGTGCTGACTTGGCAACAGCAAGAGCCGCAGGCTGGCAAAGGGAGTGTTTTGTTCTGTCTTGATTTTAGGACCTGCATTTCCCCCTACCCCACCATTTTAATTCTGTTTTTAACCATCACCTTCTCTGCGTTTTAGCACAGCTGCATTTCACCTGCGCGGTTTTCATTATTTGTGAAGTTTTCCAAATCAATGCCAAATTAAACCAAACTCTGTGGCGTTTCCGTTCGCTCAAAGCTGCCCTGAGTCCCCCCCCCAAAAAATATTATTTATTATAGAAATAACACATGTAAATTTCCCTCAGGAGGGTCGAGGGAGGCCTCTTTTTGGCGCAATGGCAGCACCGAGGCGACAGAAACGCCTCATTTTCCTCTCACGCAAAGCGGCGGAAAAGGCATCGCCTAAATATACATAACTAAAAAAAATGAAGGAGCGGCTGCTACGACCCCTTTTACGAGTAGAAGGGAAATGTGGGAAGTTTTTCTCTTCAACAGCATTTAAACGGGTTTTTTGAGAAATATTTTTCTCCTCAGGTTCTTCTGCCCCTCCCCCACTCCGCCTTCCCGCGCCTCGCGACCGGGCTGCGCGCGCCGGCGCCCCACACAGCAATGGCCGCCGCGGCTTCTTAGGGAAGAAGGGGGCGGGGCATCGGCGCGGAAAAACTGAGCGCTCCTCGGACCCGCCTTCGCTCAACGCGATGACGTCGGGGCGAACAGGCGCCTCTCTCCTCGCTCGCTCCGCCTACTAATCCCCCCCCCGCCTCTCTGTATGGTCGGGACGGAGGAGCTCGGCTGACGTCACTTCCCGCGGCTCCTTCTCCCCACCCCACCCCCTCACGGCGATAAGTTTCCCGTCATCCCCCGCGCATCCTCCTTTCGCCTCGCGCGGCCAAGATGGCGGACACGCAGGTCGGAGCGGCTCCCCGTGACGGGGGGGGGGGAGGGGGAGAGACTGCGGGTCCCCTGGAAACGGGGAAGGGGGCGCCTGGGGGGTTAATTGGTGGGGGGGCCTGAGTGGGGAGCGGGGGCTCCTGCTTTCTCCCGCCCTGAGGCCTCCGAGGCCGGCTTCCCTCAGCAGCAGGAGGGCCTCGCCGCCGGCCCTCGCCTGCCTCCCCTTCCAACGTCCAGGCGGCCCTGCAAGGCTGCTCTGCTCGCCCTCGTGGCCCGCAGGTCGAGACCCCACCCCCAAAATCCCGGCTTAGGAAACGGTCCTTGACCCCCTTCCTAAGACCACGACGAAGGAGGGCCCTGCTGCAGAATCAGGCCCGGGGGGGGGGGCAGCGCTGCAGCCCATTATGAGGAGCTGGAAATCGGGCACAACACGTGCTCTCCCCTCCTGTGCTTCCTGTAAAACGATGAGAAGGGGGTTCTGGATCAGGCCGGAAAGGGATCACCTGGTCCAGCATCCTGTTCTCACGGTGGCTGATGAGATGATGATGATAATAATTTATTATACCCCGCCCATCTGGTTGGGTTTCCCCAGCCACTCTGGGCGGCTCCCAACAAAATATTAAAATACAGTGGTCTGTTAAGCATTAAAAGTTTCCCTAAACAGGGCTGTCTTCAGATGTCTTCTAAAAGTCTGGTAGTTCTTCTCTTTGACATCTGGTGGGAGGGTGTTCCACAGGGTGGGTGCCACTACCGAGAAGACCTTTTGCCTGGTTCCCATTAGCTGCCCATTAGGGGAAGGCAGCAAGCAGGAGCACAAGGGCAGCCCTACCTCAAACTGTAGAGGGCACCCAATGGCCCTCTCCTCCATGAATTTGCCCTCACCCATTCAAAGCAGCTGGCAAGGGGGGAGGGAGGCCTTCCCAGGGCCAGAGGAAGAAAGAGTGCCTGTTTAGGCTCAGCCGCTCCTTTCCATCGCAAGAGGACTGCAGCCTTGCTGGTGACTATTCTCTGCAACACCAAATTAATTGCTGTGCCTTCCTAAGGTAGTTGGGGCCCAGCTTGCATGTGCTGCCTTCCTATTGGCACCTCGTCCCTCTTGCTTCTGGGAACAGTTTCCTAAGATGCTCAAACTTGGGGTCACACTGCTTCAAATATTCACATGGAGCAGGATGTGTCTGGTGAACCATGGCCCATTTCTAGGCTGCTCCATTCCATCTTGCAAGCACCCGCCCCAAATATGCTTTTCAGCATGCGAAACAACCATCCTCTTAACTCCTATAGGCCTGGTGGCCCAATTTTTCTGTTAAAGGGAGTTAAAGCTTCTACAGCTTACTTTTTAGCCAAGACCGCTTCCCAAAGCAGCCAACTAGTCCATTTAGTATACAATGTTATAAGAGTGTTTGTTGTGGTGCAGTTCAGCACCCAGTCCATGATCTAGTGTATCCTACCAGACAGAAGAGCCAAAGAAGCTGCCTGTGGACTCTGCAAGACCCACAGAAGCTGCTCATCTGCTAATGACCCTTAACAGATGACAATCTAGTCTATGTTCTTCCTTTCTAAACTCATTCCTTTTTTCTCACATGCAGACTGAGAGGGCGTATCAGAAGCAGCCCACAATCTTCCAGAACAAAAAACGTGTGCTCTTGGGAGAGACTGGCAAAGAGAAACTCCCCCGCTACTACAAGAACATTGGTCTGGGCTTCAAGACCCCCAAAGAGGTATTGAGCTTAGAAGGCAGTTTGGGCCAATGGGAGGGTGCTTGTTAAGCCCTGTGAAGTTTGTAAAATTATACACAAAGGTAGACTACATTTCCGCTTTTATACTTTCCTTTTTGGAAACTTGAGTACAAACCTGTATGCTCAAAATAAATTACTATATGTGGTGGAGTCATCAGGCCAAATGTTTAAACAGTAGGATAGTTTCCCTTTGCTGACGTATGATGTACATTCTCACGATGGTCTTCCAAGCCCCAATGGTGAAGGGGCTTTGACGAGAGTGTCCAATAGGACCTTACTGATGTCAGCTCATATGCATAAAAGCAAGAGGCCTGGCTAATTCTTCATACAGCAGCCTCTTGCATCTAGGATATGATTTTATCATCAAGGTGGCAGACCTTTCTGTCTCTGGGCTGCACTGCTTTTGGCAGCATCCACATAATGGGATGTGCCTACTTCCAAGAGATACATTACTGTTAGGTGCAGGAAATGCATCAGAGAGAAAGGTTCTTGCTTGGCCTTTTCATCCATGATCCTTTTCTCTAAACAAGGATTTGTGGGGGCGGGTTTTGCAGGAAGTTTCTATGATGTAAGATCAGTGTAGATACACACACATACTTCCGGGCTGAAGTAGCAGCCCAGATGTAGGTTTTACCCCTTCGGTGATAATTTCATTCCCATCATCAGCTGAAGTCAAGCTGAGAACAGGACTGCATTAGGAGGCAGGCTGAGAAGCAGCCCTCCTTTCAGATTGTGTCTGGCTGGGAAAGAAATGGGGAGAGGTCTTAACAGGGAGGACTATTGCTGTAATTGTATGAGGTGAAAGGGGGCCCTTCATTGTGCTTGTGTTGTCTCCTTCCTTGGTTGTGTTCTGATAACACTCTCTTTGCATCCAGGCCATCGAAGGCACATACATTGACAAAAAATGTCCTTTCACTGGCAATGTGTCGATTCGGGGCCGCATTTTATCAGGTAGGAGGAGGTGCTGTTTAAAGCTAACAGAGTACAAGATGTGGACACTTACCGTATTTTTCGCCCTATGGGACGCACTTTTCCCCCTCCAAAAATGAAGGGGAAATGTGTGTGTGTCCTATGGGGCGAATACAGGCTTTCACTGAAGCCTGGAGAGCGAGAGGGGTCGGTGGGCACCGACCCCCCTCCCTCTCCAGGCTTCAGGAAGCTCTGTGCAACCCTCGGGAGCCCGGCGCGAAGCTGCGCCGGGCTCCCAAAGGTTGCGCAGAGCTGCCTGCGCTCCCGGGGTCCGCGCAGCTCCGCACAACCCTCCGGAGCCCGGCGCGGCTCCGGCATCGCTCTGGGGTCAGGGGAAGCTCGGGCTTCCCCCGCCCCAGCCCCCCGCCTGATGGGGGGGAAATAATCCCCCCCCCAAAAAAAATATAGGTGCGTCCTATGGGCCGGTGCATCCTATAGGGTGAAAAATACAGGATCTCTTGTTTCTCTTGTGCCCTGTGGTGGATTTGCTTCCTGGAAATTCTTTTGTTTCCTGCATCTATCTATGGCACCATTTGTGATCCATCGAGAAGTTTAACAGTGATCTGTGCATTGAATTTTTCCAGCGCACCAATAAGCCTTTGTGTGCTTTGTAGAGGTGCATTTGTTCAATAAAAACAGTTAAAAACAATACAGAAGGTGAGTTTTGAAGCAGCATGAAGTACACACTCATATTGCAGTGATGGTACGGTAAATCAAGTGTACATTTAAAAATCCCACATGGAAAAGGAAACCTTGGGTGCCTGTGGCCCTCCCAGTGTGGATGGACCACTCCCATCTGCCCCAGCAAGAGACATTGCATCTGATCAGCAGTGATGACAGGTGCCACTTTACTGCCACATGATAGTGCTGTCTTCAAGGCAGCAACTTCTTCCCAGACTCCCAGGGCAGAGCAAGGAGTTCATGCAGGGCACGTGAAGATTTTTATGCCTTGGGTGTCACCCCTCTCCCTTTGTTTTCAGGATTTATAAACCAGATTTCTACAAGAAAGCACCCTAAGTAGCATGCAACTTAACTCTGCATTAAGATGGATAGAGTTTAAAAGCTATACAACTGCCTAAATGAACAACAAAACAGTAAAATCCGTACAGCTCACAAATGCCTGATGGAATGAGTGTTTGCTAATTCTTGGGTTAAGGAATTGTTTCGCAGGGAGAATTGGTCAAAATGGGTTGAGATTGGATAGGAAATGTGTTTGACACCCAGACCCATTTTGGTAAATGAAGCAATTGGGACTTTATTGAGCTTTACTGGTCAAGTTTGTTACTTTTGACTACCTTATTTGTATTTTTTTCTGACTGACGGTCGAATAAAAAGGATGATGATGATGACTACCTTATTGTAACTGGGAAACTAGATTGAGTCTTAAAGCAGAGGTGATGAGCCTTTGGCCCTCCAGATACTGTTGGACCACAGTTCCCATGATCCCTGGCCGTGGGCCATGCTGGCTGAGGCTGATTGGTGTTGGGAGTCCAGCAACATCCGAAAGGTCCCCCAAATTCCTCATCTGGTTTGATTTTATGTGAAAAGTGGTGGGCTTGTAACAGATCACTTGAATGATTATTTGGAGCATTCCCCCATAGAGCTGTGTGGCAGAGCCATATTTTGCTGCCAATAGTCCAGAGGTGCTGCACATCTGTTTCCAACAGTTCTCAAGCTGCAAGTGATGTTTTTCTCACGATGGTCTGCTGAGCCCCCATGGTGAACAGGGTTCTGATGAAATTGCCTTGTGGCTGAACTGATGGTGCTTGAATAGACTGAGGAGCAGATGTGCTTTCCTTATCTTTAGGTCTGCTGCATCTGAATTGAGCCTCCTAAATGCACTTTATTGGTGTTTTTGTGGTATTTTGTGCCTCTGCCATCCCACCACTCACACACAGGCATCCCTGGGGGAACTCATGAGAGGTGAGGGGGTGGGGGACAGAGGCAGGCCTGTTCCTTCGCAGAGCAGGTGTCTCATTCGTCTTCCATTCTCCCTCCATCCCTCAGGCGTGGTCACCAAGATGAAGATGCAGCGCACCATTGTGATCCGCAGGGACTACTTGCACTACATCCGCAAGTACAACCGCTTTGAGAAACGGCACAAGAACATGTCTGTGCACCTGTCCCCTTGCTTCAGGTGAGAGGGTGCAGGTCTCTAGCTTCCGTCCCCGACCTGGTGCAGATACTGTTTTATCTGGTTCCTTCAGGTCTTTATAGAAAAACGCATAAGGTTTGCAGATCAGTTCCTGCTTCGTGCTGTATAAGCTGAAACAGATAAAATAATTACAACAGACAAAGAACAGCACCAGTTATCTTTGCCCCTGTACATTTGTAGCCCTCTTTTAGAGCAAATAACAGAGAACTTTTTGTAACTGGGTTTGTGGTTGGTCTAGCAAGCATGTTGGTGATGATGTACAAACTCACGATGGTCTTCCTAGCTCTCTCTGGTGAATGAGAGGCTGCTGAAAATGCCAGTCTGGCAGTCACTGAACCATAAAGCTTGCTCAGTTAGAGGGTAGTTATTGTTGTTTTTGTCACCTGAGTTGGTGTTTTATTTATTTTTGTTTTAGGGATCATATAAGCTGTTCATCAACACATCTACCACAATTTATTTATTTATTGGTCTTTTCATGTTCCCTCAGGCTTAGTTTGTATTCTGTCAAAAAATTAACAAGCCCTTCTTTCCCTCAATACGCGCTCCCCTACATCCCTGCCCTAAAGTTGTTGTTACTTTCTCATGTTTCCAGGGATGTGCAGATTGGAGATATTGTGACTGTGGGTGAGTGCCGTCCTCTCAGCAAGACTGTCCGGTTCAACGTCCTCAAGGTGACCAAGGCTGCTGGCACCAAGAAGCAGTTCCAAAAGTTCTAAAGTGGCGCCTCATGGCTCTCCTTGGGATGCTCAAATAAACCTTTTGTAAAGACCTTTGGTTTTGTTACTTCTGGGGAAGGAGTTTTTTTGGGGGGGTAGGGGACACAACTCCCTTGCGGCTTGCTGGTGACCTAGCTATTTTCTTTTTTAGGATAGGGTTTCAGAGTTAAAGGAACCATGCTCATCTGTTGCTTTGGACTGGATAAATGCCCCTGTGTTTCATCTGCATTACTTGAAAGTAAGGCTGCCTGGTGGTTATGTTTTGAAGGGCAAAAGGGGGTTTGCTGGTCATATCTAACCCACCAGCAGGGGAGTTGATTGGATTTTTAAAAAACATTTTTAAAAAATGCCACTTGTGTTTCTTACAGAACATCTGGAGACTGTTCTTCTTGCCTGGGTAAAACGGCTTAGAAGAGTGTTTCCTTAACTACAGCACTAATACTGGGGGCAAACAAGCATTGCAAACCTATTAAATGAAGAAGTCTCAATGCTGCTGCAGATTAAGTAGAGTTTAAGACTGTGCAGGGGACCCCAGGACTCACCCCCCCCCAGGAGACCAAGACCAAGGGAAAGAATCCTACTTACAGCCTGCCCATTTTGTCCAGGAAAAAATCCCACCTTCCTCTCTAAACTAGCCAACTATCTAAAATGCCCATCCAAGCCTAACTCTGACCCCAGCCCTAAGCCTAACCCTAACTACCCCTCTATGTACAAAATAAATATATACAAAATATGCACATATGTGCACAAAATAAAATAAAAAATATTAAAATAAAGAACAATAAGATAAAAGTGTTAAAATAAAAAACTAAGAAATAAATCAAATAAAATTATTAAATGAAATGGTAGACAAAATAAGAAACTGGAAAAACAACAATAAACCAAACTCTTCTCCAACCACCACAAACTCCTCTTTCCTCCACTCGCTTCACTACTAACCCACAGATTAGTGATGTATGTATGACACAGATGTGATGCATGTATGACATTTTATTAAAAGGTGTTGTGGGTGAAATGGGCTTCTTCCATGTGGTAGTTGGAAGTCTTGTTGCAACAGTTCATTGACTAAATGAACTCCCTCCCTCTCTTTCTTTTTTCTTTTCCTTCTCCTGCGATGAGGCTACATTTTAAAATTTTAATGTTTCAATATTTTAATGTTGTATTTTTTAATTTTGTTTTTAAGTTGTAATCATTTCATTTGTTTTATTATTGCTTTTAAGCTGCTCTGAGCCCGGCCTTGGCTGGGGAGGGCGGGGTATAAATAAAAATTATTATTATTATTATTATTATTATTAAAGACCAGGCCTCTCCAGAGAGCCAAGTCTGGGCAGGGGACCCCCCAGGAGATGAAGAGAAAGGGAAGGAATGCTACTTACAGCCTGCCCATGTCGTCCATGAAAAGATCCCACCCTCCTATCTAAAGTAACTATCTAAAATGCCCACCCAAGCCTAACTATGATCTCAACCCCATCCTAACCCTACACCTAACCCTAACTACTCCTCTATGTACAAAATAAAAATATATACAAAATATGCACAGATGTGCACAAAAATGTAAAATAAAAAACAAAGATGAAAAATAAGTGCTAATTTAAGTGCTAAAATAAAGAATAAAAGAAATCAAAATAAATAAAAGTAATAAATGAAATCAAGATAAGAAAATGAAAAAATAACAATTCACTAATCCTCTGCAAGGCTTAGCGCACTGGCTCCGTAAGAGCGTATAGGCAGCTCATAGGCAGGGGCACCCCAGGCTGGAGGTCTATGCCGCTGTCGAAAGACCAATGAGGCAGCAGCTGCTCTGACCCCTGTTCCTCAAACACTTCTTGGTAGTCCTGGTAAAAAGCGGGGAGCAGTGATGCAGCTTCCCCTGTGGGGGCGGCCACTAGCATCTCGGACCGAGCATGGGGACACGGGTCTGGGAAGCGCACAGTCTGATTGACTGTCGATCTGAAGGTTGTGAGATTCCAGCCAGTCCATCCCGAGCACCAGGGGAAAGCGGGGCATGGTGGCAATGTCCAAGGTGCGCACCTCCCGGTGCTGCTGGTGACACAGGACCAAGGGCCGAGTCTCCTGAGTAACGGCACCTGAGCGCAGGAGCCGTCCGTCAATTGCCTCCACCTGTACCGGTTCTGGCTTGTCCTGGAGTGGCACCTGATGACGGGCGGCGAAGGCAGAGTCCATATAGGAGCGGGTTGCCCCTGAATCTACCAGAGCGTGGGTGAGAACCCAGGGCCCGCCGGGGGGGGGGGGTATAGACGCACCAGAACCATGAGGTGTTGCAATTCCACCGGTGAGGGCCCATCATGAAGTGTTTGGGGCCCCAGGTAGCCTGGGCCATCAGCTACTGGGGTTGGCCATTTCCCTGTGGCCGGCGTTTTCTTGGGACAGGATTGGGCATAGTGTCCACTCCCGCTGCAGTAGAGACACAGGTTGCCCTCCAGACGCCGATTCTTCTCCAAGGGGGAGAGGCGAGGCCGCGCTGCCCCGAGCTGCATTGGCTCCTCCAGTGACTTGGCTGTGGCCGTGGAACTGCTGGGAAGGACGGGAGCCGGGAGTGCTGGCCGCTCTGAGCCTGGAGACGGTCCTCCAACCGATTGTCTATCTGCAGTCTCCGTTGAATGAGGGCGTCCAGCATGGCGGGGCGATCCATCTGGCCAGCTGGTCTAGTATCTCATCCGAAAGCCCCTCGAGATACTGGTCCTGAAGGGTGGAGTCATTCCAGGACAAGTCCTGTGCCAACAGCAGAAATTCTGGGGCGTAGGCGGCCACTGTGTTCTTGTCCTGTTTCAACCGTCGAATCGCCCGATTGGCTTGACTCCCCTTCTGAGGGTTGCCGAACGGGGTTTCCAGATGGTTGCAAAACCCTGTATAGTCTGTCAGCAAGGGAGAGTCTTGCCGGAGCAGCGGCAATGCCCACTTGGCCTCCCGGTCCTTCAGCAAGCTGATCAGGAAGTGCACCTTGGTGCGGCCACCGGGGAAATTCCGGGCTCACCCCTGAATATACAGCTTGGCCTGGGCAAGAAACATGGGAAAGCTGGCCGGGGACCCATTGAATTTCTCTGGTAGGGCCACTGGGTACTTGCCAGAAGCTGGGGCGTCGGCACCAGGAGCTGGTAAGGTGTCCAAGCGCTGCTGAAGCGTTGTAGCTGCATTGCTTAGCTGCTGAACGGTGTGGGTCAAAACCTGGTTTTCCTGGGCCAATGCCACCAGCGCAGACGCCTGGTCAGCCATGGCTTCTGGTTCCTCCTGAATGCACCCCAACGAAGGGGGAGTGCGGATGTGGCGGGAGCAAACTGTGCTGGTCCCGTGGGTTACCCGAGAGGCTAGGTCTAAGTCCACTCCGTGGTCAAAGGTGCAATGTGGAGGCAGTCCGTAGTAGCTGAAGCTGGGTGCAGGGCAGGGAGTTGGGTGAAGTCAGGAACAGACTTGCAAGCAGGGAGCCAGGGCGGGTCAGGAGCTCAGGCAGGAACTAGCAACCAACAATGCTGCTTCCGCAACTTGGGACTGGGGCTGGCCGGTTTTTATCTGTCCTGAGGCATAGGGCGGACCCGATCCTCTGGTGACTCGCCTCTCTAACCCTGAGCCTCTGCAGCCCAGGAGAGGCTGGAGGGTTACCGGACCCAGAGGCAACCTCAGCTTTCTCTGACAGGGCTGAGAGTGGAGCACCTGCAGGCAATGGGTCCTCCATCACCTCAGGAGCCAGAGCAGACTCAGCTGGTGCCTGCACCTGAGGATCCAGCACAGGTGAGGACCCTTCAGGCTCATGCCCCAGCCCTGGCTCAGCTGGTTGTGGAGGAGGGGAATTGTGTGCAGGCTGGGATCCCTCAGGTTCAGCATCCAAGTCCGAATCCCAGGCCATCACACCTTGTCAACAATGTGGAACTGTAGTAGTTCCCAATTTGGACTTTATGAACATATGTGGAACAGAAACTAGCAGACATTTGGTCTTTATGAATGAACTGATTTGTTGGGACTTCCGTCTATATTATTGCACTTTATGTGTTTATGTGGAAGATAAACATTTGATATTGTGGTAAGAATATATAGAAGATTATTGTTTATATGAATGCACAGCCCGTGTGTTTGTCCATTCCAGGAACAGCATTCCTGACCCAGATTTTCACAAGAAGTCCCTAAGATGATTCCCCTTTCAAACAGGATACGTGAATCTAAGCCAGTAGGGTCCTCTTCTCTGGCAGACGGACAACCCCTCCCCCAAAGCCCCTCCCCCCCACTTCCCCATGGGGGTCTCCCACACCTCCCATCACTCACCAGGATGGCTTTGGCCGCCTCCTGCTTGGAGCAGTTCTGGGTTCAGAGCCCCGTGAGCTGAGCTGCCTGGCAGTTCTGAATCACCTCTGGCAGGTACAGCTGATCTTCCTCCAGCAGCTGAAAGGCAAAAGTCAGGCTGTCAATTCCTCACGAAGGGAGGGCTTCTCCACATCCGAGAGGGCAGAGTGGGGGGCAAGGAGGGCAGGTCTGAGTCCCTGCTCTGGTTCTCTCCAATACTCACCTCTGGGCGAGGGATGTGCAACCGCAGCACATCTGCAAAGAGAAGGACATGGGGACAGGTGAGTCCGTCCCTGAGCACCTGGCAAGGCTATTCCAAGAGTTTTCTCCTGGATTCCAAGTCCTACTGCAGGGGAGGAGGGACATCCCAAGCCTTGGGGACCAATCCTGGCCTCCTTCAACCAGAATGTGGCTCCCCAGGTCAGGGATAGGCAAACTAAGGGTTGGGGGCCGGATGCGGCCCAATCGTCTTCTCAATCCGGCCTGCGGATGATTCGGGAATCAGCGTGTTTTTACATGGGTAGAATGTGTCCTTTTATTTAAAATGCTTCTCTGGGTTATTTGTGGGGTATAGGAATTGGTTCATCCCCCAGACAAAAAAATAGTCTGGCCCCCCACATGGTCTGAGGGACGGTGGACCGCCTCACGGCTGAAAGAGGTTGCTGACCCCTGCCCCAGGCTAACAAGATGGTCAATATCCAGTTCCACTCCATCCTTTTAAAATTAAAATAACAAAACAGATCCCAACTTTCAGAGCATGTAAACCACATGAGTGGAAAGACCGCTGCTCCACTCACAGAAATAGGACTATACTTCCTTCTCCCACCTTTAAAGTAAACGTCTACGTAATGAAACCATATCGTCCCAAGTCTGCCTTCCTCCGCCAACCTCAACTCCTCTCTTCAAGTCAAAAGACAACACTTCCCCGTCCCCGAGCGAAACCCCCTGGCCTTCCATTGGAAGAGCCGCCACAACACTAGTGGCATTTACCTCAGTGCAACGCAGGGACTGAATGAGGGGGCGGTGAGATGCTTTCAGCTTCGGACACTTGGCGGGTTCTGAAATGGCCGTGCAGGCCAAATTCACAACCCTGGAGGGCTGGATTCAGCCCACGGGACATAGTATGAGGACCCCTGGCCTACACTGACTGGCAGCAGCTCCCCAGAGTTTCAGGCAGGGATTTCGTTCAGCCCTTGCAGGAGATGCCAGGGGTTGACCCTGGGACATTCTGCATGCCAAGCAGATGCTCAAGGGTTCCCCATATTTCCCTGCACTTTCAACGCTATGCTATTAGCAACCGTGGAGATTCCACCTGCCTCTTTCAGAAGGAGAACACTCACCTGATCAATAATAATAATAATAATAATAATAATAATAATAATTTATACCCCACCCATCTGGCTGCATTCCCCAGCCATACTGGGCGACTTCCAACAAAATATTAAAATACAATAGTCCATCAAACATTAAAAGCTTCCCTAAACATAATAACAACAACCATTTTCAGTCCATTGAATTAGCAATTAAGCATTTCTGCAAAGGGAAATGGCATACTTTTGTTGCGTGCATAAGCGTGCATAAGAAAGTATTACTCATTTATGATGAAAATGGGATTTATTTATTTTGAACTTTGCTGGGTTCCTTCTCAGCAGCCAGTGTGATTCTTTCAGCAGGGCTAGAACTCAGGACCCGCTGCCCTGAGGGACATCTAAGAGCAGTTGGGCAGGGAAAGGTCTCCCTTGGGAGGTGGTGGACTCTCCTTCCTTGGAGGTCTCTAAGCAGAGATCGGACGACCATCTGCCATGGATGCTTTAGCTGAAATCCCTGGGGGTTGGACTAGATGACCCTGGGATCCCCTCCTATCTCTCCACTCCTGAATTCTAGGAGGAGCTTCCTTGCCTCCTGCAAAGCCCTTTTCCCTGCAAGCTCTTCCTCTGGTTTCTGGCCAAGGGAGCGAGATGCTCAGAGTCCAGCCAAGAGCCTCACCCCCAAAAGGATATCTGGGCATTGGCGTAGCCAGGGGAGCAGCTGCCCCCCTGAATCAATAACAAATAGGAAGAATCTGAGGTTCTGCCAAGCGAGTGAGGGCTGAGCTGGGTGGACTCGGCTTGGCAAGGGTTAAAGGGAAGTGAGCTGCCTTCCTAGAGAGGACAGGAAGCAAGGGGGGGCCAGGTCCTCCCGAGCCCAGCCACCCCTCCCCAGTCCTTTCCTGCTTTGGTGTCTCTCTTGCAAGGGCTGCCTCGCTCTGCCCTCCTGGGATCTGGTGAGTCTCCTCTCTCTCTGGGATCTGGTGGGGGTCCCAGGGCTGCAGCAGGGGAGGGGGCTGGGGGGACCCCAAGTCAGGGAGGAGAGGGTCCTGCCAGGGAGGGGCCAGGTCTGCCACGCTCTCCTTCCTGCAGATCAGAGGATCCCAAACTCATTTGGCCTTTCAGAAGAAAATGACTCCCACGAAATCTCATTTCTTTAAAGAAAGGAGTCCCTGGTCTTTAACTCTGTGTGTCATCGCTCATCCTCATTACACAACAGAGGGAACAAATGTGCAAATGGTTTTCCAAAGCTGGTGGAGGAGGTGGACACTAGCCCCCCCCCCAAAAAAAAGGTGGGAGAGAAAGGCCAGGAGTAAAGAGAGGGATCCCAGCCCAGAGTCCGGCTGCTGCATTGGGGACCAGTTTCCCAGTGTCTCCCAGGGCAGCTCCCCACGGAGGCCACTGCAGCAATCCCCTCGCACCCAGAGCAGGGCATCCCAGGACCACATCCTCTCTCTCCCAAAGGGATTGTTGCTGGAAAACCAGCCGGAAATGGGCGCTGCTACTCACTGAGCCTCCAGGGACCTTGGCATCAATGTCTCTCTGTGTGTTAAGCTATCTAACAGAATACTAATACTAAATTACACACCTAAATTTCAAGGGAGGTGTCTTTGGCCTCATCCACTTGGCCCTCAGGGGTTGGCCAGATACATACCTGGCCCTCGGGGCAAAGAAAAAGTGTCCCCACCCCAGGAATCTGTCTGGCAAGCGGCAGACAGTACAGAAAAGGAGACAGAAGCAGGGAGTGGAGGTGAGGGTGGGGGTGGGGAGCAACTCCTGAGACCCCCAGATGAGGACCCCCACTAGAGCTAAACATCCATTTTTCACAAGATACAAATAACTCCCTTGTCAGTCGGTTCTGACTTCATGCATTGACTGAAAGGCAGCAGAAACCAGGATGATCTCAAAGAAATCCCTTTAGTTGCCTCCACATTTTGCATTGCTAGAAGGATAGAGACTTATTTCTTCTCCTCTTCCTCCTCCTCTTTCTTTTCAAAAAGATAGCTCATGGTCTGAGATACGGTGCAGTCCAGCCCTGGTTCCCAGCAAGACTCATCCATGCTTTCTTAGGGAACCATTTCCCCTCCCCCCCCCCCCCCCGTCCTTCAGATTTTGTAACAAAACATTGTATTTGCTTTGTAGGATTTGCTAGAGCTTCTCATTTAGACGGACAGAACTTGGCAGAAGACCAAAGGGTTCCTTCCGATCTCTTAGAGGCTTCCTGAGAGCACAGATGGATGAGCAAGACACAGCTGGCCCTAGAGCAGGAAGAGGCCATGCCATCCAAACTGGGAGCAGTGGGGGGTTATGGGAAAACTCTGCGCAGAAGATCCTGAGTGAGGAGGACACCCTCCGCTCAGAGGTGCAGAGCCAGCAGGTGAGGCAGTTCTGCTGCCAGGAGGCCAAAGGACCCCGAGAGGTTTGCAGCCGACTCTACCACCTTGACCATCAGTGGCTGAAGCCAGAAAGGCACACGAAAGCTGAGATGCTGGACCTGGTGATCTTGGAGCAGTTCCTGGCTGTTCTTCCACCAGAGATGGAGAGCTGGGTGAGGGAGTGCGGAGCAGAGACCAGTTCGCAGGCAGTGGCCCTGGCCGAAGGTTTCCTCCTGAGTCAGGCAGAGGAGAGAAAGCAGGCAGAGAGAAAGCAGGTGAGAGAGACTTTCCTATGGATACTCCCAAGGGGCTCCAAACAGGACAGAGAACATCCCATAATGGTCTGCTGATGGCCCATCCTTTTTCTGGGAAGGCATCCATGGAATGAGATCTCGTACTCTTCAAGTCTTTGTCATTCTCTTTCTAGTATTTCTCCCCATTCTCTGTTTTGAATCCTTGTTTCTTTTTCAGGGAAAGGATCTCTTTGCAGAAATGGACCTGGATTCCTGTGAGGCAGAGAGGCCTCCGTTGGACACCAGAGAGAGGCAACTGGGTAAGGAGGAAGGTGGTTTTTCTCCGTTTGGTCTCATTCTGTTGGTTTTCCAACTCATCTGTGGGTGCTTTTCATCTTGTTTTGGGGGAGACAGTTGGGAACAAGGGTCCAGAGAAAGGGAGATGAATTTCTGCACAAACAAACATATGAAATGGGCAGAAACCTCCAAATGCACTCAGCGGGTGAGGCTTTCTCAAAGGCCCATCTGTAGTTAGAGATGCCCTGTTTCACCTGTGAGAGAAGCAGGCACTCCTGGCGTCTTGCTTATGTTTTTTCTCTTGCAGGTGACGGAATGATGCTGGCAAGACCTCCCTATCCGCCTTTTCATGGGGGCAGAAGGGGAGCAGCGGCTGTGGAACCAGATCAGGTCAGGGGAAGCTGCCTTGTGGGGACAGAGGCCGAGGGATGGAGCAATGTCATGGACTGGTTGGGCACAGAGGAATGGTGGAAGGAAGCAGCCGGGAAACCAGGAAGGGAGGACGTCTTAGAGCCCAAGGAGTGGAGGTGGAGGAAGGATGAGCGGTCAGAGGGAGAAGAGGGAGAAGCCTGGGAAGAGGAGGTGTCAGAAGCTGAAGGGGTAACAGGGATTAGTGAGCTGGGAGACTCTGTGGCAGAATGCAGTCCAGAATCAGAGGCAGAAGAGGAAGGAGGTGAGTGGGCAGAGGGAGGGCAAGAGACAGAGTTGAGTCAGGAGAAGGCGGAGCCACTGGTGGCTCCCTCTCCTTTTGCCAGAAGCCACCCTCCCTGCTTGTCTCTCAGAGCCAGGAGACCAAAATAGGCTTATTTTAATTGTAGATTGATCACTGAATGCTAAAATTGTTTTCTAAGGAGTGGACAAATGAGAACAAATAGTGGCCTGGATTCACCTAACCAGCCCCATCGGATGAAAAATGGGGCCTGCCCCCCATTCCTCCCCCTCTCCATGCTCCCAGGAACCCCTTGAATTTGATTTTACAGCATTGGGAGGGAACTCCCTAGAACAGCACATGAGGAGAGGAGAAAGTGGATCCTTCCATCTGGCAAACTGGAATCCCTGCATAGGCAGAATGATTTGAAAACCACATGTGGAGATCCACCTATTTGCACAAAGATGAATACCCATAATTAAAATGCAGAATAAAATAAGCACCCATAATTAAAATGTGCTGCAAAACAATCCTATTGAAACAACACCGCAATTTACAGGAAGGAAACCACAGAGCATTGTAGAGCAGATCATATTTCTGCAGTCTCAGAGGAGGACATTTCCCTTTTTCTTTTAGGGTCCAGTCTGCTTTGAAGATGTCGCTGTTCGTTTCACGGACGAGGAGTGGGAGTTGCTGGATCCTGACCAGAGAACTCTGCATAAGGACGTCATGGAGGAGAATCGTGGGATCGTGGCCTCTCTTGGTAAGGCTCCCTGTGGGCTCGTCCTATATGCCAGGAAATTCCAAAAATACCTCTATGAGACGAACCTCATAAATTTTTACAGATCTCAACAGCACTCCCTATAACACCTGGGAACCTAACACCCCCACAATAAAGAGTAACTTACAGTTTTTTCTTTGAAAAATCTTCCTCAAATTATTCCTTTTTCTACCACGATTGGGCTGGTCTGAACTGCCCAGGCCATCTTAAATGTCAGCTTCAGAATTGTTAGGAAAGATAAGTAGCTTCAGGTTTTCTGTTTTCGTTTTTGCTCCTGTCAGTCTTGGGTTGACCAAAGAGACGACTGACATTGGAGATGGAGCGGATGCCATGACTGGGCCAACCAAAATCCATGCCAGAGAAGAGCTAGACTTATTGAATTTCAGGTAGAAGTAGCAGTGGTGGTGATGATGATGATGATGATGATGATGATACAGTGGTACCTCAGTTTACAAACGTAATCTTTTCCAGAAGAGGACTGTTCTTAAATCAAGATACCACTGTAGTAATAATAACAATAACAATAATAATAATAATTTATCCCCTGCCCATCTTACTGGGTTGCTCCAGCCACTCTGGGCGGCTTCCAACATACATATAAACATGAAACATAAATAATAATAATCTGATCCCATATAAAAAGAACATTAACTTTAAAATGAACAGCTTATACTAGTGGCCAAAATTGTGGAAACCTTTTGTGAAAAGTGTATTTCTGAGGTTTGATGGCTCATAACACCACTTTTGTGTGGAGTAATACCATAAAATTATATAGCAATGGAAAGATAATTTAATGAAGAATGTAATGCAATGAATTTTATGAAGGAGTATTTATTAGAACAGCAGTCATAAAGAAAAAACGTGAAACCTTTGGTAACCATTGGTAACGTTTAGCTTTAATTACGGCCTTACAACGCCTTCCCATGAAGTGAACCAAGTTTTTAGTTCTGCAGCTGTAATAATGTGAAACCAAGACTGAATTATTGCCTCTGTTAATTGGGCTTTATTGCTGGGTTGCTTCTGACTAACAAGTTTCTTTAGTCGGCTCTATAGATTTCCGATTGGGTTAAAGTTTGGGCTGTTCCGAGGCCATTCCAGCAGTGAAATATCATTATCTTGAAAGCATCTTTTGCACACAGCAGCAACACGACATAGAGCTGAATCCTGTTGAAATAATACATAAAAATAAAAATTTATAAATATATATAAATGCTTCAGTATCTGGGAAAAGATCACCTGCGGAACACTTCAGTTTGGGCTCAAGTATTTTGTTTATGCATTTTGGAGCATTTATATTCCCATTAATGATGCAAATTCTGCCCACACCTTTTGCTGCCATACAACCCCAGATCATCACACTGTCTGGGTGTTTCACAGTCAGTGAATCATAGAATCATAGAATCATAGAGTTGGGAGAGACCACAAGGGCCATCGAGTCCAACCCCCTGCCAAGCAGGAAACACCATCAGAGCACTCCTGACATATGGTTGTCAAGCCTCTGCTTAAAGACCTCCAAAGAAGGAGACTCCACCACACTCCTTGGCAGCAAATTCCACTGTCGAACAGCTCTTACTGTCAGGAAGTTCTTCCTAATGTTTAGGTGGAATCTTCTTTCTTGTAGTTTGGATCCATTGCTCCGTGTCCGCTTCTCTGGAGCAGCAGAAAACAACCTTTTCCCTCCTCTATATGACATCCTTTTATATATTTGAACATGGCTATCATATCACCCCTTAACCTCCTCTTCTCCAGGCTAAACATGCCCAGCTCTCTTAGCCGTTCCTCATAAGGCATTGTTTCCAGACCTTTGACCATTTTGGTTGCCCTCCTCTGGACACGTTCCAGTTTGTCAATGTCCTTCTTGAACTGTGGTGCCCAGAACTGGACACAGTACTCCAGGTGAGGTCTGACCAGAGCAGAATACAGTGGCACTATTACTTCCCTTGATCTAGATGCTATACTCCTATTGATGCAGCCCAGAATTGCATTGGCTTTTTTAGCTGGCGCGTCACACTGTTGGCTCATGTCAAGTTTGTGGTCAACCAAGACTCCTAGATCCTTTTCACATGTACTGCTCTCAAGCCAGGTGTCCCCATCTTGTATTTGTGCCTCTCATTTTTTTGCCCAAGTGCAATACTTTACATTTCTCCCTGTTAAAATTCATCTTGTTTGTTTTGGCCCAGTTCTCTAATCTGTCAAGGTCGTTTTGAAGTGTGATCCTGTCCTCTGGGGTGTTAGCCACCCCTCCCAGTTTGGTGTCATCTGCAAATTTGATCAGGATGCCCTTGAGTCCATCATCCAAGTTGTTGATAAAGATGTTGAATAAGACCAGGCCCAAGACAGAACCCTGTGGCACCCCACTAGTCACTCTTCTCCAGGATGAAGAGGAACCATTGATGAGCACCCTTTGGGTTCGGTCAGTCAGCCAGTTACAAATCCACTGAGTGGTAGCATAGTCAAGACCACATTTTACCAGCTTCTTTACAAGAATATCATGAGGCACCTTGTCAAATGCCTTGCTGAAATCAAGGTAGGCTACATCCACTGCGTTCCCTTCATCTACCAGGCTTGTAATTCTGTCAAAAAACGAGATCAGGTTAGTCTGACATGACTTATTTTTCAGAAATCCATGCTGACTATTGGTGATCACAGCATTCCTTTCTAGGTGCAGTGTAATGCAAGTAGGATGTAAATCTTATCTGATTCTTCTCCTCGGGTATTTCATGCCATCACTACCAAGCAAGGAAATTTGGGTCTCATTGCTCCAAATAACACTGTTCCACTGTTCTGCTGTCCAGTTAACATGGGTTTAATCTTTTCAACCTTTGCTTGAGAGATAACAATGGCTTTTTCTTAGAATTCTAACATTTAGACCAGTCCTTGCACTCAACTTCACATTACATTGCACCATGTCATCTTATATCCACCCAGATGATATTCTTCTTTCATGTAGGGACAGTCTCTTCAGTCTTCGATCGTCACTTGCCTTTGTGCACCTTTTCCTGCCTTTACCACTCTGATTTTGTAGTGACTGAGTCTCTTTATACCTCTTCAAAAATATAGAAAGGCCAGCTTTGGTGTAGTTTTTCCCAATCTTTCATCTAATTTCTTCATAACTGTAGCCTTGTTCACTTAATAGTACAATTTTACATCACTTTCTGGGTGATTAGTCAACTCTTTGTGCCATTTCTTTAATTTGATTATGTTTTTCAACCTCACTAAATGACCAACTTGATAGCAATCACATAAGACACTGACAAAAGTCAACCTAAGCAAGTTGTGCTTCCTTTTTCTGGTTATTTGGCTATAAGGTTTGATAAAATATAGGTAATTGAACAAACTTTGTTGGATTGCATTCTTGATTACATTCTTGATCAAATTATCTTTCCATTGATATATCAATTTATAATATTACTACAAAAGAAGAACTACACTTTTTTTCAAAAGTCTTCCACAATTTTAACCACTACTTTATATCAAACAAAGCAACATTCAGCAACTCATCAGAATCTCATAATAAATATGTTGGTTAATGACAAACAACACAGGTCATGAACACACACCCAACTCCCTTCAGTTCTTCTCGATTTGTTCCTAAGGCTCTAATCCCTTTTTGTCTCCATTGCAGATTGTGATGAATCGGAAATTGAGAACAAAGGTGACCACGATAAAATCCCCAGGGAGGAGAAGCCATGTAGAAATTTGGAGTGTGGAGAAAGCTGCAGTCAAAACTCCCATTCCACTTCCCATCAACAAAATATCATTGGAAAGAAAGTTTGTCACTGCATAGAATGTGGAAAGAGATTCAGTCAGAGCTCCAATCTCACTTCCCATCAAAGAATTCATACAGGGGAGAAACCCTATCAGTGTGTGGAATGTGGAAAGAGCTTCACTCATAGCTCCTCTCTCACTTCCCATCACAGAATTCATACAGGGGAGAAACCCTATCAGTGTGTGGAATGTGGAAAGAGCTTCAGTCAGAGCTACTCTCTCACTTCCCATCAAAGAATTCATACAGGGGAGAAACCCTATCAGTGTGTGGAATGTGGAAAGAGCTTCACTCATAGCTCCTCTCTCACTTCCCATCACAGAATTCATACAGGTGAGAAACCCTATCAGTGTGTGGAATGTGGAAAGAGCTTCACTCATAGCTCCTCTCTCACTTTCCATCAAAGAATTCATACAGGGGAGAAACCCTATCAGTGTGTGGAATGTGGAAAGAGCTTCACTCATAGCTCCTCTCTCACTTTCCATCACAGAATTCATACAGGTGAGAAACCCTATCAGTGTGTGGAATGTGGAAAGAGCTTCACTCATAGCTCCTCTCTCACTTTCCATCACAGAATTCATACAGGGGAGAAACCCTATCAGTGTATGGAATGTGGAAAGAGCTTCGGGAAGAGCTCCAATCTCACTTCCCATCAAAGAATTCATACAGGGGAGAAACCCTATCAGTGCGTTGAATGTGGAAAGAGCTTCACTACTAGCTCCTCTCGCGCTTTCCATCAAAGAATTCATACAGGGGAGAAACCCTATCAGTGTGTGGAATGTGGAAAGAGCTTCAGGAAGAGCTCCGATCTCACTTTCCATCAAAAAATTCATACAGGGGAGAAACCCTATCAGTGTGTGGAATGTGGAAAGAGCTTCAGGAAGAGCTCCGATCTCACTTTCCATCAAAAAATTCATACAGGGGAGAAACCCTATCAGTGTGTGGAATGGGGAAAGAGCTTTACTCATAGCTCCTCTCTCACTTCCCATCACAAAATTCATACAGGGGAGAAACCCTACAAGTGTATGGAATGTGGAAAGAGCTTCAGGAAGAGCTCCAATCTCACTTCCCATCGAAGAATTCATACAGGGGAGAAAGCCTATCAGTGCGTTGAATGTGGAAAGAGCTTCACTAATAGCTCCTCTCTCGCTTTCCATCAAAGAATTCATACAGGGGAGAAACCCTATCCGTGTGTGGAATGTGGAAAGAGCTTCAGGAAGAGCTCCGACCTCACTTCCCATCAAAGAATTCATACAGGGGAGAAACCCTATCAGTGCGTTGGATGTGGAAAGAGCTTCACTAATAGCTCCGATCTCACTTCCCATCAAAGAATTCATACAGGGGAGAAACCCTATCAGTGCGGAGAATGTGGAAGGAGCTTTAGTCAGAGTGGCCATCTCACTTCCCATCAGAGAATTCATACAGGGGAGAAACTCTATCAGTGTGTGGAATGTGGAAAGAGCTTCACTGTTAGCTCTAAACTCACTTCCCATCAAAGAATCCATACAAAGATTGGAAAAACCATTATACAGCTTTAGGAGCCTGGCAAATCCACACCATTTTAACCAGGCCTTTTTCTTAATGACATCTAATGCTATTTTAACATGTGATGTTTTGTGTTTTTATGTTGTGTTTTTATATTCTAAGCCTCCTGAGACCTGTGGGTGTAGGGAATACAGCCACTCTTAAATTCCTAGGGGTCTTTGCGCCCCCCCATAAAATATTTGAGGAGGCCACCCCCCAGGTTTTCTTTGTGTGTTTTTTTCAAATGCAACCTTCTTTTCTTTCACAACTTGCCATACCATTTCACTTTCAATTTGCCCTTTTAAGAAATTTTTAAAATCGCACAAAGGTCATGAGAAAAACAAAATACAAGAAAATACAAACATGGACAGGTCCCATCTTTGCGGGCCAAACGCAAAAGTTGCTTTAAAGGAGGCTTTCCCAAAGTTGGGTCCCAAGCAGCTCCCGGGACTACAGTTTCCATCATCCCTCCCCATTGGTCCTGCTAGCTAGGGATGATGGGAGTTGTAGTCCAAAAACAGCTGGAGACCCAAGTTTGCTTTAAAGGGGAAGTGGGCTGGCCCTGTGACACCCTCTGCTGGCCAAAAGCACTGCCCCAGAATCTGAACCACCCCCAGTACTGCTAATTGGAATTTATAGAGCGCAAAACTGAAATTTGATCGGCACTTCAACCTCTAGGGAGCTTCTAGGTTCTTTCTGCACCACCTAGAGTACCCACAGAATTGTGTCTTCTACTGGCAACACACATAGGAGAACAAATGAAAGACAAACACAAGGGGCAGGGAAAAGTCTGGAAAGGGCCATACCAAATGGACATCCGGTGTGAAGAGGTCACTTTCCCCACTGCTGAACAATGCCACAGGTAGAGGAGATGGAATGCTAGAAGTGTTCTCCAGGGCAAGGGGAGCTGCTTGGAAATTGAACTATGGGCTCAAAATACTACTTTTTTTAAAAGTCACTGCCATTATAGGCATTGCCATTCAAATGGCATGCATGCATCCTGTGATTGATTGTGCAAGGCCCCCCACCAATATTTTATTCAATTCGGCACCCCTGGGTTGGGTGGTTTCCCAGTTAAAAAAATACATAAATCGCCTCCCTTTGCACATGTTCCAGCTTGTCAATATCCTCATTTATGCTTTTTAAAATTTATTTGCCCTTCATCTGAAGATTTTACAATATAAACATACAGGATGAAAGCATGGCATTCTCAAAAAAAAAAAAGACAAGCCAGAGAAATCTCTCCTTTTCTCCTTTTCTTTTTTTTGGATGGAGTTACAAACTTTGTTGATCAGGGAACTGCTTTGGAAGTAGTGCATCTCGATTTCTGCAAGGCTTTTGAGAAAGTCCTCTGTGATATTTATATGAGGAAGCTGGTAAAATGAGATTGAATGAGGTAACTGTTAGGTGGATTTGACTGACCGACCCCAAAGAGGACTCCTTCATGGTTCCTCCTCATCCTGGGGAAAAGTGACAAGAGGGGTGCTGCAGGGTTCTGTCCTGGGCCCGTTGTTGTTCAACGTCTTGATAAGTGACTTGGATGAAGGAACTGAGGGGATGCTCATCACATTTGCAGACGACACCAAATGGATCATAATGGCATCCTCTCTTTTCTTCAGCAACAGACAGTGAGACAAAGAACAGTGCAAAAGCACAGCAGAGCGGAAGAGATAAGGCTGACTTCCGTTCTTACACTTTCCAATCCTAGGAAAGTAAACAGGGGCATGCGACATACTAGCCACATATCCAGCAACCGGAGGAGTGAATTGCTAACACACCACACATGATTGCAGGTGATATGAGTAAAAAAACCTGCTCCTTTTTGCTTATGGGGTACCCAAGGGCCCCTATACAGTCCTTTTGTAGGTTCTCTATCAGTAGGAGAAAATAGCAGAGACCAACCAGAGAATATTGAAAAGCAAAGCAGCCAGTAAGCCTGTTGCTTACTAACTGTTGCAACAGGGTTCTCCCCCACATGCAGGAGAGAGGAGGAGGACCCCGAGCCATGCATGCAGGCCCTTATATAGACATTTTTAATTGCCCACCCTGGAGTCCAAGACCACCCCCAGAAACACCATACATACATCACAGAAGAGGTGTGGCCCAAAACTACCCCCCAGATGCATCATACCTACGTCACAGAAAAAGCGGTCTACAACAGAAATCTGAGTGCGTTGTTTTTACCTTGTCTGCCAGGTTACCTGTTAATGGTCACTTGACTGAATTACCTGGGGAGCCTGGACATTCTTTTGTAATGATAATACTTAATTCCTGAGCCAGGTGGCAGTCTCACCCTATTCACACCTTAAATGTGCCCTTAAGGCAGGATTTGTGAGGACAGAGACAGTGGGGAGGTTTCTGCATTTCCTTCGACCTTGTAGAGAAATATTTGAGGTGAGTAAAAGAGTGAAAATGGCTTTAGGGCTTTTCCTGTGGGTTTTGGACATGTGGTTTATATATTTATATATGTATTTGCTTGGTACATTTAGGAACATTTATATAATATATCCTAAAAAATTATTTTAACATTTCCCCCCTTTGGGGCTATAATTTTTCTATAAAAATATTGCCCCGCAGATAATAACCTGGTTTGTTGTAAATGGATGCCTTCATGTAAATCTTAAGAGACTTGCATGTCAGGCCTCTTGAGAGCCAGCGTGGTGTGGTGGTTAAGAGTGGTGGACTCGTAATCTGGTGAACCAGGTTCGCTTCCCCGCTCCTCCACATGCAGCTGCTGGGTGACCTTGGGCTAGTCACACTTCTCTGAAGTCTCTCAGCCCCACTCACCTCACAGAGTGTTTGTTGTGGGGGAGGAAGGGAAAGGAGAATGTTTTGAGACTCCTTCGGGTAGTGATAAAGTGGGATACCAAATCCAAACTCCTCCTCCTCCTCCTCCTCCTCCTCCTCCTCTTCTTCTTCTCTTAAGGCTATTTGCAAGTGTAGCAGTACACATAGCTGGACATAGGATATCACATAAAAAAATAATACAGTTGAAGCGTAAGGTTCATAAATATGTAAGAAAAGACAGGTATATGTTCCTTTTTGTGTGTCTGTATATATGTGATTGAAACTTTAATCTATTTTACAAGATGTGATATATATATATATATATATATATATATATATATATATATATTGCAAGGATATTAATAAAGCTGGGGGGGAGGAAAGCATGAGGCAAGGGGGAGGTGGTGCCAGAATTTGGCATCGTACAGGGCAGCACCACCATTTGAGATGCCACGATCCACCATTGCTCTGACCTCTAGGGTGTGTCCTTTTCTTACCCAGCACCCCAATCTCTGTGCAACAAGAAACTCCAGGGGTGCTTCTCCTTACCCGGGGTTTAGTTTTCTGGGAACAAAGGTTAGCAGAGACTGTGGAGTCTTCAGGATACCTGATTTTATTTGCACATATATACAACCTGAGCATAGGATGGAGGGGCTCTTAGTACCCCCCCTTACAGATCTTGCTTCTGCATTAGGTTTCCCATAAAGCCCCAAGCCCAGCTTTGGAGTCTGGCACAGAGCAGGAAAGAATTTCAAGAGGGACAAATCTAAGGTTCTGCACACGGAGATCAGATTCTATCCAATTCAGATTTCTTTGTGGGGCAGGTATAGGACCATGAACACTCATCCCAATTTCTTAAAAGTCTTCCCACCACACTTTTCAATGCATTTACCCTTCATTTTCCAAACTGCAAAAAGGCCAGATTATTATTATTTTTTAAGTGGATTTCACAGTTGGGGATGTGTAGCCTGGAGAAGGGGAGACGGAGGCATGACTCGAGAGCCGTTTTCAAATGCCCGAAGGGCTCCCACATGGAAGTTGCAAGAAGCTTGCACCTGCTCCTGCTCTGGAGACAAGGACCCAAATGACTTGTGAGAAAGGAGATTCCAACTAAAGAACTGTTGTGCATCCATACTGCTATGGAAAGGGTTAATGCTTTCTAGAATTCTCTGGTGTCACCAGAAGAGGAAGCCGTTTTTTTCCAGTTAGGTCTGCTATCAACTGCAGAGGATGAGTAGCCTTGGGAGCCTCTTGGGGAGATGGAAGTGTTGAAAGGACTGAATCCATGAGGGAGAGCTACTTGCTCTGAGATGGGGGAACTTCGGGCAAATGCCAGCTAAGTAGAGATGCTGTTGGCCACTAGTTTCTGTTCCTCCCCACTTCCCAAAGGGCGTAACATCGGAGGTCCTGCAGGAGGAAAGAGCATCTCAGAGTCAGGGGCCAGCCTGGGCCAAAGCGGCCCTCCGCTGCCCCCACCACAGAGTCCCTGGCTTTCCTTTACCATCTCTGATGCCATCCAGAGACTTGCGTTAAGCAGGAGGAGGAGGTGCAGAGCATTGGGGGTCTCTGTCAGAGCAGATGATGGAAGTGCCACTTCACTTCCTGTGGGAGACGCCCATTTCATTTTTTTTATAAATAATTTTTATTAACCGACCAATCAAATCAAATCAAATCACATCACATAAATTCCAAATTACAAAGCCGAATTTTAAATTTTTGTTGGGGGTACCCATATTTCAAGTTCCGAAGGGGATCCAATCATCTTCTTGCTGCTGCATTAATGTCCACAAATCTGTCCAAATAATGTTCATAATTCTATCCTGTCCTATCTTGCTGTTTTCCACATCTCATCTTGTTATTTTCATGTATTTTTTCTTTCTCTTTGTGACCTCTTCTGATGATCTCCTTAAGCAGGTAAAAACAAGTTGTAATCCTGTGTGAATTTTTCCGTTCGTCCAATATCAAGATGGTTTCCATATATCATCACTTCCATAAATAAAAGCACTCTTTCCATCATTAATCTTCACAAATCTGTCGCCTTCTTTAGTCCTCTGAGGAGGTTCACTCGCAGTATGAAAACAAATCCATTCCTCCTCCCAGACATAAATCTTTCGACAGAACTTGCCAAAATGGCGACGCTGTTTTTTTACTGCGTCATCCCAAAGCTCTTGTACTTTCCTCGATCTCCTTAAAACATGCTTTTGGTTAGAATTTATTTCCACACAGTATTAAATCATCCAGCTTAGGTCATTTAAGCGGCATTTCTGACTTGTGAGGGGGGATTATTGGTTAATTACATAGAAGAAAGAAAGAAAAGTCCCCCCCCCATCCAGTCCCGCTACCAACATACCGAGCCTTGATGTGTCTTCTCATGATATATTCCTGTTCATCCAACCCGTCTTCTTTCACAGAGGTCCCTTCAATTAGCAGTCTTTACTCCCCATTCTTCACTTGAAATATGTGCATTTGCTTCTTCCTAATTGTTTATTTTCAAGTTGCTGCAGCTAGTGGCGCGATCAGAGACAGCGTCCAGGAGAGCCGAAGTCCACACAAGAGCGTTCTGCCTAGTGCCCTCACCCCCTCGAATCCGGGGGTGATTTATGGGCACAGCAGGCAAGGGCAGTCCCCCCCATTCCCTTGGGGGGGGCAGGGAGGCTGCATACTCCAATAACAGCCTCTTAATTACCTCGTGTGGGTCGGAGAGATGGTATTGTCGGCCATCTTCCAATGCGCCCCTAGTGCCCCCCCGGGAGACGCCCATTTCAAGCCAGCAGGTCCACAAAGGGGAAGGAGGGAAAGAGAGAAGAGATTTTGAGTCCTGAGTGCAGTTGTGGAAGTATGTGAAGAGGAAGAAGAAAGAGCCATGTCAAGAGAAGTCAAGACCAACGGTTACAAACCTTCCTGTTCAGCTGCTTTTCATCTCCAGGAGTGCCTGAAACATCCTGTGGACTATTGAACTGAAGAGGTCGGAGAAGTTTGGATTATGGGGCGCTCGTAAAAACACCCCAGGCACCCCAGGATGTCCTGGAAGAGAGAAGAGGAGGAAAGTCAGGTCCTTCCGCGGGCATCAGGAGGCCACCTGCGACCTCAAACTCCAGGCTTGGCTTGCCCATCCCTGACAGCTCCCTCCTGGGGTCCCTCACACAACCAGAATGGACTCTGCAGTGCAATTCTTGGGCATCTGGATGTTCCAAAAGCCCCTCAGTGCTGCTGCCTCACAGGAAAAGTAAAGAGGACTAAGGACAAACCTCCCATGTTCTCTCATTCTTTTCCTCTAGTTGGCCTGGAAAGTTGTGTGGAGAATTGTGAGGCCCATCTCTGAAGTGGAGGACCACCCAGCAGGCTATGGAAGTGCTGCTTCAGTGCCTGTGGGAAAAGGGAGAAGAGAGGTTGAGCACTGCGTTAAATATTGCAAGGGTGTGAGAAGAAGAAAGAGCTGTGCAAAGGGAAGTCAAGACAGAGGACATACTTCTCTGTCCTCCACCTTCTCAGCCCCTTTCAGCACTGCCTCAAACGTCCTGTGCAGGATGGCACTGCGCATATCGCCGTTGAACTTTGGCCTCATGATGCTGCAGAGATGAAGGGGGGAGAGGGTTAGATGCTGCCTCCTCTGAGTCTCCCTTGCCCCCTTCTCCCTCCTGCCTGCTCTTCCCCACCCGGAGCTCCCCCTGGAGTTCTGCCCCCCACCCACCCCCACAACCCTGTCCATCCCCCCCAAAAAAACCTCACCTCAGCTGGAGGAGGGCCTCCAAGGCCAGGGCCAGGCTCAGGGATTGATCCCTGAAGCGCTCCAAGTGCCCCAAGATGTCCTGGAAGAGAGCAGAGGAGGAAAGTCAGCTCTTTCTGGGGGGGGGGGGAGGCAGCCAGAGAACTGCACCCTGAGATGCCCCCTACCCCTTCAGTGTCTTGCTCACCTATCACCACGGGCTCCTCCCGGACTTGCAGCGGGGCCACCCTGTTCCTCTGCTGGCAGCTGAACAGGGCCCTGAACCACCTGAACCTAGAAGAGAGGAGCAGGGCGGAGAGAGCAACTCAGGAGCCCCAATGGGTGGGGGGTGTTTGTGTCTGTGCGGGGGGCCGAGAGAGGAAGGTGGTGGAGTCTTCCTTGGAACCAGAAAGACCCCCATGAAGGGGGGAGAGATGCAAGATGGAGCCAGGCAGAGGTGTAGTGGTTGGACTAGGAGGAGCTGGGAGAGCATGGTTCAAATCCCCACTCAGCCATGGAGCTCCCTGGTGGACCTTGGGCCAGCCTAGCCTACTTTGCAGGGCTGCTGGCAAGATAAAAATTGGTGGCAAGGAGAACCATGAAGGCCACTTTGAGTTCCTGGGAGGAAAGTGGGCTAGGAACGTCCTAACAAAAGTGGATGATGAGAGGGGAGAGAAAAGGGGAAGGCAGGGAAAGAGTGTGGAGGAGCTGAGCTCTCTAGAGAAGACTGGCCGGGTCAATTTCCAGAGAGCCAAGACTGTGCAGGGGACCCCAGGACTCACCCCCCCCCCCAGGAGACCAAGAGAAAGGGAAAGAATCCTACTTACAGCCTGCCCATTTCGTCCAGGAAAAAAAATCCCACCTTCCTCTCTGAACTAGCTAACTATCTAAAATGCCCATCCAAGCCTAACTCTGACCCCAACCCCAGACCAACTCCTCTCTCCTCCATTTGCCTCACTCCTAATCCACAATGGCTGCCTGCAAGTCGGAGGCTTTTAAAGGAGAAGCAAGAGATGTCACAAAGGAGGGCGGGTCCTTGTCACCGTGGCAACCTCCTCACCTGGACCCGGGCCCACCTGGTGATGCTCCTCCTTCAGAACTCGGAGGCCCCTGCTGTTCCGCCTGCCCCTGGGCTGCATCTTCCTTTCGCATCCTTCTTCCTGCAGCCCCATTCCTCCAATGCCCTGGCCAAAGATTGGGGGGGGGGGAGGGGAATAGGAAAGTGGTTGTATTACTCAAGAACGTGAGTGGATATCTCCAGTTTGGGCGGGGTGTGTGTCAGGGGGGCGGTGGACCTTCAAATGCTCTCCATTTTGGTTGGCCCTGCTGATGTTGGATCTCCAATGAAGAGAGGATCGAGGCATTGGAGGAGCCAAAAGTTGGGAGGTGGTTCTTGACATCTTGTCTCCAGTATAGGAGGAGCTGATCTGATTTCTCCTAGGGGCCCTTTGGATTGCACGCCAAGTGCCTTAATTTTTAACTCAATCATTCTAAACGTATTACATGTTGATATCCTGCCTTTCTCTCTGAGAGGGACTCAAGGCAGCTTACACTTAAGACAGAAACAGCTAAGCACATGGAAAAAGTGTAATAATTTAAGAAACCATTACATATTAATGTAATTCATAGATATATCTGGTATCTTGGAAGCATACAGAACATTCCCATAGAGGCAGCATGCCACCAGCGCTTTCATGCAAAGCTGTCACTTCCCCAAAGCCTCTTGGGACAAGGAAGTCTTGACCTGCCGGCCAAAGACCCCAAGGAGGGAGCCAAGCTCATTTCTCCAGAAAGGGAAGTTCCAACGAATGCCGCTTGTTCGCGTTAAGCTGCAATTGTTGTTCATAAAGCAAATATTCAAGGCTGCATGCAAAGTGGGCCTGTGTCATCTTCATGCCTGTTTCATCTGAATTTTGGGGAAGACAAATCGCTACACAGAGAGATTTAATAATGCAGAAAAAGTAGGATAGGATATTTTTGATTTCCCCTCTACATTTGTGTAATTATTTCTATGTGCTTTATACTAATGTTTTAAGCGAAGCAATAAACGAGAAAGAAAAATAGTATCTTTTCTGACTGATTGCAATGGTTTGGCTTTCTGCCGAGTGACCCTGGGGAAGATGGGGGGGGGAGCTCCGCAGGATTCGCAGGGAAGTCTGCTGACCTTTCGGGGGCTCAGGGCACAGAAATGGCTCCTCTTTCTTTAAGGGCCCCACAGACCTCATGGGACACCGGAACTGATTCCCTTGTTGCTTCTTTGAGTCAATGGAGGTTGCAGGAGGGCTGTTGATAAAACACACCCTTCACACTTGGTTACGTATTAGTACGTTTCCGAGCACAATTCAAAGTGTTGGTGCTGACCTTTAAAGCCCTAAACGGCCTCGGTCCTGTATACCTGAAGGAGCGTCTCCACTCCCATCGTTCTGCCCGGACACTGAGATCCAGCGCCGAGGGCCTTCTGGCGGTTTCCTCATTGTGAGAAGTGATGTTACAGGGAACCAAGCAGAGGGGCTTCTCGGTGGTGGCACCTGCCCTGTGGAACACCCTCTCTTCAGATGTGAAGGAAAAAAGTATCTATCCTATCTTTAAAAGACATCTGAAGGCAGCCCTGTTCAGGGAAGTTTTTAACATTTAATGCTGTATTGTTTTTAATACTTGATTGGGAGCCGCCCAGTGTGGCTGAGGAAACTCAACCAGATGGGTGGGGTATAAATAATAAATTATTATTAATAATTATTATCACCAGAGGCACAAATGAGACTCCAGGGGTCAAAGGCACTTCGATTCTCAGCATCTTAGTGTGGGAATGTTGTGGATAGTAGGAGAGGATCTGTTGTCCTTCCTCACTCATGCTAGCAGAGCACATTCTCTTGCACATTACTGGAAGCTAGTTGATGCATTTTTTAGAATCATACAGACTGAGCGATCCGGTCTGGCTTATTCAGATTGGATTGTTCCTGGTAAATTCCCCCTTTAGTTCCCTCTTAAAAACAATAATGAATCCTAGTTTACCCAGAGTCCGTTTTCCTTGGAACCAAGGTCAGCAGAGACTGGGGTGTCTTAAGGGCGGATGGTTTCATTTACTCATCTATACAACCTGAGCAGAGAATTCTTTTTTTTGGGGGGGGGTGTCACAGCATTGACACCCTCAACAGATCTTGCTTCTCCATTGCTAAGAGCTTTGGCTCCAGCACAGAGGAAGCCGGTCTCTGTGTCTTCAGCTTCCAGCTCAGCTCCTGCACAACTCCCTCTGGCCCTTGCCCTCCTACCTAGCAGCCAGGTGAGATGGGGGGGCACATTTCCTGGGTTGCCCCATCCCCTTGCTGCAGCTCCTGCAGCCCAGCTCTTCCTTTGGAGATTCTGATGACACTCAAGGGGCCAGCAAAGGTCACAGTCTTATGAAGAAACTTGTCCAAACAGTTCAGAAAAGTCCCCAATTAGATTCTGACCCTCCCTGGGTACAGGACCCCCACAAATAGGAAGGAACTTAGGGCATCATCCAGACTGACCCCTTTGAAACCCGTAAGTGTGTGATTGTGTGTGTGTGTGTGTGTGTGTGTGTGTGTGTAAAAAGGCCCTGCAGCTGAGCAACAGGCAGATCACAGAGCAGCAGTCAGAAACATCAAAAATCAGTACAAATCAGGTCACCCAACAAAATTGTTCAAATATAAATAAATTGGAAGTATACAATAATAAACATCATTTTTTTGTCTTACTGTAGGTTCCATCCCATTTCGAAAATGAAAATTTTATTTTCCGGTATATTATTGTACATGCTTTGAAATATATTTATATAAATGGAGGAAGCAACATCTTTTAAGCGCTTTGGGCCTCTAAAGTTCTTAATTCGGCCACTGCCCGTTGCCAGAAACCCACTGCATGTTCTTAACATTTTCAATCTTCAAAGCCTCACCCCCACAGCAGTGCAAAACGAATTTACATACATGGAATTTATGCTACTCTTTCCTTGTTTAAAAAAGTTAGCTGACTCTGCTTTTTCTCCTACTTTTCCCATTCACAAGCTCTTTGATTGGAGCCTGAAAACTCATCTTACATAATGCATCGCCTTCTATTTTTGGTACAACTGGAACATGGCCAGTTCGCTTGCACCGGGTGCACAGCTTCTGGGGCGCAACAACTATGAAATCCAATGGAAGGCCTGAGGCAAGGGGGTGGCGGTGCCAGAATTTGGCATTGTACAGGGCGGCACTGCCATTTGAGATGCCACAATCCGCCATTGCTCTGACTTCTGGGGTGTGTCCTTTACTTATCCAGCACCCCAATCTCTGTGTAACAAGAAACTCCGGGGTGCTTCTCCTTACCCGGGGTTTAGTTTTCTGGGAACGAAGGTTAGCAACAAAGACTGTGGAGTCTTCAGGATACCTGGTTTTATTTGCACATATATACAACCTGAGCATATAACTCAGAGACATTTTCCTTCCCTTGGCTTGTTCCCCATCCAAACTGGGAGAAGGATCTAGTGCCACAGAAGACAGAATCAGGGTTCAAAATGACTGTAACAAAAAGAATTTCAAGAGAGACAAATCTAAGGTTCTGCACTTTGGCAGGAAGAACCAGCTGCACCAATGTAAGAGGTGGGGGGTGGAGGGGGGCCTGGCTTGCCAGTAGTACCTGTGAAAAGGATCTAGGGGTCTTAGTGGACCACAAGCTAAACATTAGTCAACCTGACTGTGATGCAGCAGCAGAAAAAGCTCATGCTATTTCAGGCTGCAACAACAGAATAGTGTCCAGACCAATGGGAGATAATAACACAATAAACAATGAATTTCAAAACAGTAACAATTAAATGGACGTTTAAAACTCTTTAGGTAATGCAAGGAAATTGATCCACTTGATCCAGCGACACCAGAGAGAGTCTCAACCACAAGGGCTGTCGCATGGAAGATGGAGTGAGCTTGTTTCCTCTGGCTTACAACAAAGTTACAACAAAGATTCTGACTGAACAATGTACAATTATTTGAAAAGTTATTGTAAACAATTCAATTCATTTGCAGGATTATCTTAAAATTAAAAACTATCTTAAAAACTAACAAAAAAGTCGGATTATTGAAGAGATGCAGTAAGAAAAATATAACTGAAGGTTTTTTGTCTTGGATGTTTGAATGTCATAAAAAATGAAAGGGATGTGTTTAGTTTGCTGGAGTGTTTCTGGGTCTTGGTCCCCTGTGTCTTCTGCTGCGATCATTGACTCAGGGTTTTCTCCTTTTCCTTTCAAGACCAAAAGTTCTAAATCCAAAGATTCCTTCAGGAAAGACTTGGGTTGCTGAAGGTCATCTTTCTTAGTACCGCTGACATTTTTATGACTTTTGAGGCGTGAGTTTGTTTCGGTTTTATCAGCAGGGTTTGTCATTCTTCCAGTGTTCAAATCCTGCACTGCGTGGACGACTGGCTATAAATCTTTGAGGATCAGATCATCTGTATGGAAGAGAATCAAAATGAGAGACATAGTTTTTCCACAGGCCTTTAATTCCCCACATTTTAACCCATCCTTCCGCCAAAAGTCCCAGGTTGGAAATGTATTAAAAACAGCAGTTTGAATTGGGCCAGGAAACTAATTGGCAGATGGTGCAGTTGGGCCAGGATCAGTGCAAGATCCTCCAGTGAGCAACCTGGCCACTGAATCTTGCACCAGATGGAATTTCTGAACTGTCTTCAGAGGCAGCCCTATGTAGAATGGCTTGCAGTAGTCCAACCAAGGGACTGGGTCAAGGTCCCTCACTTTCAACCCCCCTTCTCCTGCCCAGTGTGGCCGGCTATCTGCCTTGGGGGGTGACCAGCTGGGACAGCCCCATGGTCATCAGGGCAACCAGGAAGTTC